CAGCCAGCCGGGAATCCAGGAGGCCCAGGCTGGATCCTGTCCAGCTCCCCCTGAGCGTGTTTACTAGGAAGAGGAAACGGAGATACGGTTTGTCCAAAGTTCAATGTCCTGATCTCATGGTGAACCAGGTCCAGGCACGGAAAAGCTCAGATGCCTTCCTTCCCTCACAGGTTAGGGTTGAGCTTACACATGATTCCTCTGAAGGCACAGCTTGTGTTTGAGCTAGAATCCCACTGGGGCTCTTGAAGGCAATAAAGAATGAGAGACAATGGGCGCTTCCCTTGGTCACTGTTCAGTCCTCCCCCCTCTGCCCCAGAGCTCAGCCATGACCACCATTGCCATCAATATGGAAACAAACACTTTAAAGTGGAGTGAACTCTTAGCCTTCCCAGCATGAGTACAACTTGAAGGACATCTGCCTTGGCCCGAAGGGTCTGGCCACTCACTCTGACTCTTCCAAAGCTTTTACGTTTGTTAAATATTTTCATCTTTATTTAAGATGGTATAAGGCAGGGGCCGGCCCAGTGGCACAGCGGTTAAGATCACACGTTCTGCTTCTCAGCGACCCAGGCTTCGCTGATTCAGATCCCGGGTGTGGATGTGGCACCGCTTGGCAAAAGCCATGCTGTGGTAGGTGTCCCACATGTAAAGTAGAGGAAGATGGGCATGGATGTTAGTTCAGGGCCAGTCTTCCTTAGCAAAAAAAAAGAGGAAAATTGGCAGTAGTTAGCTCAGGGCTAAACTTCCTCAAAAAAAAAAAAAAAAAAGATGGTATAAGGCAGAGGGCATGGTGATGACAACCCTCCACATGCCTAGCTCTTGAGTCACACGGCCCAACCTGGACGGGTTGCTTTCCGTTCCCAGAATGCGGTTGTCGTCCTGTCATTTCCCTTCACCATCCTCCTGGACATTCCCATTGCTCTCCTCTTGTTGGGTCTGTAGTTTCTCTATCTCGTGTAATCTTCTTCTAGAGTTTCCTTCTTTTTGGTGGAGTGCATCCTCCAGGGGCTTCCTGAGAAAGAGTGTATGAGAGGTTAAAAAAAAACAAGAGAGAGAGATTGAGACCTTGCCCTCACATGTTTAAAAAGTCTTTATTCTCCCTTCACGCTTGGTTAGCATTTTGTTTGGGTATAGGTTTTTGTGTTTGCTTTTGGTGGAAGAAAATAGTCCTTCAAAATTTTGGAGGCATTCTTTTTAGTGCCTTCTATCTTCTAGTGCTAAGAAGTCTAATGTCATTCCACCTTCTGCTCCTTTGTGAAGTCCTGATTCTTTTTTATGTCCAGACACTTGTGGAATCCTCTCTTTGTTCACAGCATTCTGAACCATGGAGATTGCAGGCTTTCCTTTTGTTATGGTGGCACTTGGGGGGCCCTTTCTGTCTGAGGGATAATTTTTTTCTTTTTTTGGTGTGGAAGATTGGCCCTGAGCTAACATCTGTTGCCAATCTTCCTCTTTTTGCTTGAGGAAGATTTGCCTTGATCTAACATCTGTGCCAGTGTTCCTCTATTTTGTATGTGGGATGCTGCCACAGCATGGCTTGATGAGCAGTGTGTATGTCCGCTCCTGGGATCTGAACCCGTGAACCCTAGGCCGCTGAAGCAGAGTGCATGAACCCAACCACTACACCACCAGGCTGGCCCCTGAGGAACAATTTTTGAATTGTTTCATTATTGATTTCCTGTCTGTTGTTTTCTCTATTTTCTCCTCCTGGACCTTCTGTTACGTGGATGTTGGCCTCTTGAGTGGTGCTCTGGTTTTCTCACAGTGTCTTGTTCTCAGTTCTTGGTGCAAACCGCTCTCCTTTTCTCTCTGAGGATATTGATGTTTTAAAAAAACGTTCTCTTTGCCCTCCATAATTTCTGGTTCTTCCAAGTTGATTTTTCTTTTTGTTTGATCTGTAACTCTCTCACTTGGGGCTTTTCTGGGGCCTCATGGGATCTCTGGTGTACGCCCATCATTAAGAGTGGTGAGCTATTGGAAGCTCTGAGCTTCACTGGGGGGTTCTCTGGCTGGACCATTTGCTGGGGGGACCCCAGTGTCAGAATCTTCAGCTCTTTCCTCTGAGCTTCCCCCAAAAAGTCCTCCAGTATTTTCCCTGGAGAGGGAAGTCTGGCTGCCAGCCTTCTCAGAACCTGGGGAGGGAAGAGGGCTCGGGAGTCTCAGATTCAACAGTTAGTGTGTATGCAACCACTTAATCTCCTGTTTTTGGAGCAGTATCCACCATCTCAAGTGCACCAAATGTCCTCTGTTTTATCCTTTCCAGAAAACAAAACTCCAGCCTTTTTCTATGTAGGGGAGAGTGTTCCCTGTGGGAACAGAATAGGAGAGGGATCTAGGAGTTTAATTGTTTCCCAGACAGATTTTCCACACTCCTGCTTCCTTCCCACTGCCATAGAGATCTTGGCTGCTGGTTCCTGAGCCTTCGGAGGATTCTTTGGGGTAAATTGGTTGGTCCCCTATTCCCCTCTCCTGGCTTAGAGCCCAGCTTTCTAGGACTTGTTGTCAGTTATTCATCCAACTGCTTTCTGGATTCCAAAATGTGTTACTATTTTCTCTTCTCCTGTTCTCTCTGACTACCTCTCAGTGTAGTCTTAGTGGGTTTGGGGAGGGAGTGACGTTAGGTGGGTTTATTCAATCCTCCATCTTAATCCAGAAACTGTTTCTTCAGTTGGCTTCAGTGACACCATGTTCTCCTGATGGTTGTCCTGCTTCACTCCAGGCTCACCCCAGTCTCGTGCTGAATCCCCTCCTCTTCTGACCTCTGAATGTTCCAGGGCCTCAGGACTCGGACCTTCTCTCCTCTTTCTGTCTTCACTCCCTAAGTGGCTTCATCCAGTCCTAGGATCTGAACACCATCCATATGCCCAGGCTTTCCAAATTCCCGTCTCCAGCTGGACCTTCCTTCTGAATTCCAAACTGCCTACCCAGGGTCTGCCCTTGAATGTCCAGTCAGCATCTCAACTTGTCCACCCTCCCCTTGCCAAACCAGCTCCTCCCCCAGCATTCTCCTCAGTGAAAGGCACCACCAAAAACAGCTACTCAAGCTAAATCTTTGGTATCGTTTCTTGATTGCTCTCTGTGTCTCATATCCAATCATGCAGAAAATCCTGAAGACTCTATTTTTAAAATATAGCCCAAATCTGGTCACTTCTCACCACCTTAATCACTACTTCAGATGTTGTTTTTAGCAGAGAAGCTTTCTGGACCGCCCTATATAAGAGGCACTCCTTCCAGCCCGGCATCCTCTGTACATATGAGTATATCCAATTCCGGTCCAACATCACAGAATAGATTCTAGTTTTCTCTCAGTCCATATTTGTAACTCTCTTCTCCAACAGTGAAAACCTGGCTCCTACCATCGTCAGCTAAAAAGGATCTCAGAGTCTGAGGCCCTAGCATTTCAGAGAAGAAACGGAGTGATAAAGAAGTAAAGTGAGGAGCCAACCCAAGGCGACACTAGGGAGTTTGTACGGAGTTTTTACATTTGAGAATTGTGTAAGGATGTGCTCAGCCTTAGAGGAACATTAATGATATGCTATTATAATTTACTTCTAAACACTCTCTTTGCATAATTTCTTTGGGAAATGTTTTTAGAGACTAAAGGTACCTGCACTGATAACCTTATATTAAATCTTAAGTAATTAAATAATCAAAATATATTCCATTTTTTCTCGACAAAACACGGAGGCTGGGGGAAAGCGTTTCCTTTGAAATGCCCTCTTCTTCGTTGTGTTTTTCTAGGCCTTCTTTCTAGCCAGGTGAGTTTTTCTAACATCTGTGCCTATATGCCACTAGAACAAGGGAGAGAATTTGGAGAGAAGCTACTTCAAGCCCAGGGACATAGTTTTGCTCCAGAAATGTCCTAGCTCTTCTTCTTGGAAGTGGCCTCTTCATTTCCTCCACATTGTCTCCTCCTCTTTGCAAGCGTCCTCTGATCTGCTTGAAAGGATTTCCTGAACATCTGGTCTGTGACAACGGTGGCCTCCTAGCCCCTCCCAGAGGCTGGAAATGGCTCTTTTGGTCACACAACTGTTCAAGCATTTCCTCCCGGGTCTACTGATTAGTTCTGGCTGAGGACCACAACAAGTTTGTTTAATGTTTGATCACAAAAACACTACGTCTAGCTGGTGGGTGGGGTCTCTGGAAATAAATGTACTCTTTCTGTATCCATTTCACTCAGTGCCTGATATATATATATATATATTTAAATGCCCCAGAGGAGGTGCCTTTTCCTAATTTACACAAAAGATCTGCTGGGGCTCCTGGTTGCTCTGTTGGCATAAACTGAGAGTCAGAAAAGAAGAGCTTGGAGCAGTGGCACCGAGTTTAGACACTGATAGAGGACAGGCCAGAAAGACACGAGCGGGATGCACCTGGCTCCCAGAGAGGAGAGCACAGGGAAAGAACCAAGAGGCCTACGTGAGCTTTTAATTATTTTTTGTAACATGATGTGCAATGTAAATCTCTTCCTTATCTTCAGTAAAATCTTCACTACCCTAAAAAAAATGCTGCCTCTGGAGTCTGCAGAAACCATGTGCTCTCACATGGGAGATGCATTCTGCTTAAGATCATCAATGTGGGGCAACTTGAAAAAATAAACAGCATCTTTTATGCTGTATTTTCACTAACTTTCCATCAACAGAAAGCTCCTTGTAGAAATGGAGCTTCAGTTACCAGGCGGTTTCCCAGGGGTGTCCCAGAAGTTTGAGGGGGTGGTTGTGAACCCTTGTTGAAATCCCTGTGCGTCTTCGTGGTCCCTCCTTGCAGATGTGGCTGTCGGCATCGTTGTGACCTTGCTGCCCTAGAACTCAGCAGTGTGCCAATCGCATGTTCTCTACACGTTGGGCCTGTGGACACTCTGCCCCGGGAGTTCAACGACTCTGGTGTCACCTGGGATCTTTTACTAATTAGGCTCGTCTTGGTTTACTTGTGTCTTTTTTTGAGCTGAATTCCATGGCTACACTAAAGAATGTGTCTGTGCTGCTTCTTATTTTCATTAGGGTTCCAGAACATCTCGTGAAGAGCATTACTTGGCAGACACTGCAAGCTGTAAATTTTTGCCATAAACACAATGTAAGTCTCATGTTCTCCCTTGAAAAAACAGAAGGAGGCCCTTAAGCTGAGGTGGAGCCTTTGTCGATCATTTTGTGTATATAATTTTTCACCCAAATCTTTTTAAGCCTGGTTGGGGTGAGTAGAGGCTAAAAATGCTGACCTAGCTCTTCCTTCTTGTTCAGGTGACATAAAAGGTGCATTTTTATAATTTTAAGAAAGTAGTTATGCATTGATACTGATTAGAAACGACTCAGAGTTAGGTGGGATCCCATCCTCCTGGAGTCCGTATTGGTCTGGTGCCTCAAAAGGTCTGAAACTGGGGGTCAGAGCCCCAGGTCACTCACACCTGCGCAGCTGCAGCAGGCGGACGGCCAAGCACCCTGGACAGTGCTCATGTCTGCTTTGGTGAGATACGAGGGCCACGTCTGGAATGGAGCAGCCCAGGGGGACCGCCGACGCTCCAGCCACAGCCAGGCCTGGTGGGAGGCACGTGGACGCTGCCCCGGTGGCGGCATGACTTCACAGGTGCTGGAAGCCTGCCACTCGCTCCGATACGACACTGCCACTTCCTGCACACAGAAGCCAATACCAGGGCCAGAGCTGCACTTGGCCTCACGGGCGATTTGACTGCAGTGCATCATCCTGCTGACGGCCAGGGCCAGTTTAGCTGGGGGCTGCATTCCCTTCCTTGTGTGGTTCTAAATGATTTTTCCTGAAGCTGCCTTCCCAGAGGAGAAAATGTGAGAGTAGCCAGCACTTCTCCCTCCTGAGCCTCCACCTGGCTAAGGGCCACAATCCTTGTCAACGTGCATGTATACCAGGCAGGGCAGACACCTTATAGTCCTATTTACACTCTCCTGAGAGCAGGTTTTAGGACGGGGGAGCAAGAGAGACCACATGAAGGCCCTGTGGAGATAAGTGGGATGCATACCGCCATCCCTGGAAAGCCCCAGAGGCTCTATTTGTCCACATGAGCTGATGAGGGAGGGGGTAGAGGCTTGTAAAGAGTTCCCAGAACAGAACAGGAGTGCGTTCTTGCATACAAGTCCTCCAACCGTCTGTCATCACGATGCTCACGGATGTACCCATTTATAGTAACATGTGAAGCCAGTGGTAAAAGAGTGGAGATCTCAGGGCCATTAACTGCTGAGAACCAGATAGACTGTGATAAAATAATTCAGAAATTGTCTCTCCCCCGTTTTTCCAAAATAATAAGTGCCCATAGGGAACACTGACCCTGGTCTCTCACCCTGAGGGTCCTCTGGAGTGGGAACTAGGCCAGGCCCAAGAGGAATCTCTGTCCTCTCTCCAAATTCTGGAAAGTCCAGAGTACCCCAGGGTTTCAGCTGCAAGCAAGAGGGTCTCTCAGACGCAGAGGATCCAGTCTTCTCCAGAGAGGAAAACGCCTGGAAGAGGGGACGATCATTAGGAACCCTGAACAGTATTTTGACCCAACTGTTGTTTTTATGTCACTGTTAATTAGGTTGTTGATTTGTTCTTTGCCAAGAAAATTGTGATTTCATAAGAAAACCATGTGAAGATCCTTAGATGTTCTTCTAACATGGCCCTGTTAAACAGTGCCAGTGGGGTTTGGAAACCGCAGGTGATTTGGGTCTGAACTGTGGCGTGGGGGCTACCCCCCGGGGGGTGGGGGTGGATGCAGCGCTGAGAACCCTTGATGTGTGTGTGACGGAGCTGACATCTAGCGACTCTCCCCAGAGGCTGAGCGCCGCCTGCTCTGTTTATCTCGTGAGGACGAATGTCAGAGCTGGAAGGGAGCTCTCGGGACTCCTGATTCTGCCCTTCTCTTCCTCGGCTTATCTCAGCGAGCCTGGAGCTTGTCCTGTTTATGGCCCCCTGTGTCCTGTTCTCAGGCAAACAACTGAATAGTGAATTCTGCTTAGGCCCCAACTTGCAGCTCCTGCAACCACCAGGCGGGCCTCACCCAGAGTCTTTTAACAGTTCGCTTCACCCGGGCTGCCAGATTCAATACAGGACACCCAGTTAAATGTGAATTTCAGATAAACGATCATAGCCTTTTAGTATAAGTATGTTCCCTAAATTATTTATTGTTTATCTAAAATTCAAATTTAACTGGGTGTCCTGTATTTTTTTTTCCAAGTCTGGCTACCCTGCTTTCATTTTTCCTTTCACCCTTCTGGGTCCCTGTGGGCCCTGCAGGAATTTGGGGTGATTCAGGCCATGATAGGTAGGGTACTGGAGTTATTTTAGGCTGCTATTTTGCAGCCTTTTATCCAAAAGGCCGGTGAGAGGTTGAAATGATTTTTCAAATATTTGCTAAATATTCACATTTTATTTATCCCGTGTATTATAGTTGCTCCTTAATAATCTGTTTTTGTTTTGATGTTTCTGACTAGTGCATACATAGAGACGTGAAACCAGAAAATATCCTCATCACAAAACAGTCAGTGATTAAGCTTTGTGACTTTGGATTTGCTCGGCTTTTGAGTGAGTATCGAAGTTTTCTTTAGTTACACATAAAAGACGGAAAGATTGTTTACATAATAAAGGATCTCAATGCTATAGAAAGCTAGTTCTTATATATCTAGGGCATAAGCTTGCTATAAATTACACTTCTGTAATTATTGAAAAAGTGTAGATACATTCAGTGGTTTTGAAATGTATGCCATACGTTAATTATACCAAAGTAAAGAGGTTATTATAAAGCATGTTGCCCTCCTGGTTTCTACCATTTTTTGCTAAAATAGAGCTTTTCAGAAGTACTATTTTAGATAAGTGGTTTTCAACTTTGGCAGCAGATTAGAATCATCTCAGGAGCTATGAACTATAACTTTAAAAACTACAGTGACACACTTGGACCCTCCTACAGGGTTTCCGGCTTAATTGGACTGTGGAAGGCCACCAGCATCAGTAATTTTAACAATACTGTGGTCCAGGTGAGTTTAATGTGAAACTGGCTCTGAGAACCACTGCTTTAGAAAAACCGCAGGATGGGGCACAGCTTAATTTGTCAAGTCTCCCCTCCCATTTTGATGCCGGGTTCCCCTGCTCTCTCTGTTTTCCATGTCCCATCACTGGCCAGCTGGACCAAGTGACTACTACACAGACTACGTGGCCACCAGGTGGTACCGCTCCCCGGAGCTGTTGGTGGGGGACACGCAGTACGGCCCCCCTGTAGATGTTTGGGCAATTGGCTGTGTCTTTGCCGAGCTGCTAGCAGGGGTGCCTTTGTGGCCAGGAAAGTCGGACGTGGATCAGCTCTATCTGATTAGGAAAACCTTGGGTAAGTGGTGTTTTCATCCTGCCTTTTGGGAGTGTGGATGGTTGACCCACGTCAGTGCTGGGCAGAGCCAGATTCCTGGTCTCATGTTATGCCTTTATGGTTACGAAAGAGGGAGCCCCCTGGGGCCTCATTCAAATGACTCCTTAAAAGGTGTCCACGTTTGTCTTAAGAAAGAGAATCAATAACTTTGGGTGCATACTAATTGTCCAAAAGACACAGATTCTCTCTTCAGCATGGTTGGGATCAAGTTAAACTCTGAAAAATGATCATGGCAGTAGTGACGACTTGCATTTCTATGAGAGCTTAGCCGTTTACAGCTTGCTGTGGAGTTTTATTTCATTTCTGACAATGTGGTAACTCGTTCTTTGGCTGTCCTTGACTCCAGCCTGCCAGGCTGGTGTGTATTGTTCAGACGCTGTGAGGGAAGATTCTGTCTTCTCAGGGTCAGGGAGAAAGGCTGGTTCCCCAAGGTCGCTCTCCTTGTCTTGCTTTCCCACCCCAACGCCCTTCCATTTTTTTTGTCCTCATGGGGGCTGGGGAGAGCAGAGAAGAGGGGCAGATGGAAAGATCTGGATAGCGATTGCCTTCCTCACAAGCCGGGGAGCGGAGCCACGCCTCCCCTGAGTGTCCCGTGGGGAAGCGACTCTTCTCTGAACTCACCAGCACCTGCAGTCTCCAGGTTTACATGTCCTCGTCCTTCTATCTTCCCAAAGATGCTGTAAGCTCCCTGAGGGTGAGATCATGTCTTCCATTTCTCTTTATCGTCCTTTGACATCCGCACACAGCAGGCAGTAAATATGTGCTGATGGCTTTTTGCAGTGACGTGGAAGGCACTTTGGGGCCCTTCCGGGTTGTTCTGCCTCCTTTGCTGTGTTTCCCTGGTGATTTCAGGGCGCCCTCTTGGTGTCCCCTCCAACTCTCGGATGGAAAAAGTTTACTGAAGTCCAGGCAGTGTGCTCAGGATGAAGCCCACAGAGATCTGGGGCAGGGCATGGGAGAGTATGTTTTGGCTGCTCATCCAAAATGGGGCGGGACAGCAGCTTTTGGATTTGAGTGAGAAAGTTCTGAAACAAATGGGTAAAATTGGACACCTTGAGGCCCCAGGCGGGAACTCCAGCCCTGGCCAGCAGCAGCATTTCTGAGGCCTGGTTGGCATTTCCGGGGCCTGGTTGGGGGTCTGGTTTTCACTCAGCTCTGGGGAGTGGGCCTGCGGGGACCCCAGGGCGCCCTTCCAAGAATCTCCTGATACTCTCTGAGCAGAATTCTTCTCCAAGTGTAATATCCCGAGAATTTTACAGGAGGAGGATTTTAGCTGAGTTGGCTGAAGTGTGGGCAGGGTGAGCCTCGCGTCATCCCCCAGAATGTAGGAATGCTCCTCTAGTTTCATGTCTTCACATCGCAAGTGCTTCTCAGCAGTAGATAAAATGGGATGTCCAAGTGATTGCTATTTGGCGAAATGAGAAAATCTGGTTCCAATTTGGAAATGTATTCCTTCCAGCTAGAAGATCTTCCATAATTTGTTTCCTTCCATCCCTCTTCCTCCCTCCCTCCCTCCCTTCCTCGATATCCGATATTTGGAGTGCTTGCTCTGTGTCAGGCACAGTTCCGAGTGCTGGGCTAGTACATTTCTAGCTCTACCCATCAGGATTCAGTTACCTCAATTTTGATTTGCAGTTGTTGCACTTGCTATTTAAAAAAACGTGTTGTCTGGTCTGCGTGTGTGCCGCTGGTTGTTTGGTTTGGATTTCTCCATATGTTGTGAGCCCTTGATGGGCAGGAGCCTTGCAGCCTCTGCTTCCCGTGCTCCTCAGGGCCTAACTCGGTGCTTCGTCCGTCCCCTGTCGGCTCAGCACAGGGTGTTGAGTACCTCTCAGCACCTCTCCCTCCGATTAAGAGCACACTGCAGCCCTCAAGGTGGGCACAGACGGACACACACGGACGGAGGGAAACCACAGACCAGAGCTTGCTGACCCTTCTCTTTCTCCCTCCCTCTTTCTTCTTGTGCGAAGGAGACCTCATCCCTAGGCACCAGCAGGTGTTTAGTGCGAATCAGTACTTCAGTGGGGCGAAAATCCCAGACCCTGAAGACATGGTGAGTGACCCGCTTTGGAAAGAGCTCTGCATGTCAGGGCTCAGGTTTCCAGGCTGTTTAAGTGGTTTCATTCTGTTTACACGGGGAGGTGCAGGCTAACTGGGTTTGGGTAGTTACTCACCTGCCCGAGCCCTACAGCCCACTCTGCACTGGAAGGTCGGTCTGAGTGAAAAGAAAAACGGGGCGAATCGGCTAGCAAGGCCCTGGCCTTCAGTGCTCCTTTAGAGGCTGCGGAGAGCAGAGGTTAGCCAGTGCCCTGGCCTCGCCTGTCCACCATCATTTTCAGCAGTTGAAGCGAGTAGCTCAGAGCCAATGAACGTTTAGACAATGACTCATCCAGGAAAGTCAGGCTTTGTCCAAATCCCTGAGTCTGCCCTGCTCTGGCTGCCCTGCTCTGGCTGCCCAGACCGAGGGGATGAACTTGCTTGGCCAGCCTCCCCCTGGTGCCTGTCCTCTGTGGCCAATATGGGGAAAACACTCGTTTAAAAAAACTGAAAAAATAAAAAATGTGCATACCCTTCACGCACTTTCAAGAATTTACTCCAGTGAAACCATTAGACAAGGGCATAAAGATGTGGCATTCTTTAATAGAATCATTTCCTTTAGTGTCCCATCAGTAGGGGATTAATGAAATAATTAATCAACTAAATAATTAAATAAGGTACTTCTATATCCTTACAATAGAAGTACCACATAGCCACTAAAAATAATTAGATTTTATGTGCATTCATCTGAAAAAAAATTCCCCAACATATTGCTAAATGAAAAAATAGTTATACAAAAGTATAATTTGACAGAATTTTAATAAATATTTGACAAATATACAAGCATATTTTTACGTATGTAAAGATAAAATAATATGACAACCTCTGGAAAATCATGCAAAGCTTTTTACATCTGTGAAATAAATGGCTGTAAGGATTTATACCAAAATATTAACAGTGGATATCTCTGTGTTGGGGTGACTTTTTTCTTTCATGATATTTTATATTTTTGAATGTCTTCTAATGAGTCTGTATTATAATCAAAAACATCTCAGAGCACAATTAAGGTTTGTGAAATCCTGAGATTCCACCGTCTAAGGAAGATACTTTCAAATTGAAACTAACCCTCCAGTTGGTCAGTTTCCACATGGAAATTCCATCAGATTCCATCTGAGCTGTCTGTCCCCTCAGCCTCTTGGCTTGTCCCACAGTGAAGGCTTCCACGTTCCCCCTCTCCCCATTGCCGCCCCCTCCTGCAGCGCTGGCAATAGGAAAAGTGGGTCACGCCGGGGAGCCTGCCAGGACGAAAAGGCAGGAACGACACTGGGCATATGGGAGGTGACCCAGCTGGCTCCCTCGTGACCTGGACATCCCCAGTTCCACACTAAATATCCCTTAGCGATTTCCTGTTCGCTTGTCAACGGGTGAAGCCTCAGAAACAACCCAGGTTTCACAAGTGTGAGGCGCTCCCTACGGCTTCCCAGAGGTTGTCTTGCAGGGCATTTCCTGTTGACAGGAACACAAGAAGCAGCAGCTCGGGGGCTGCGTCCGGGAACATCTGTGTCTGAGGCCCTCTGCTGGTCAGCAATCCTGCCTCCTGCCCGGATGCCGGCTGCTTCTGGGGCTGGGAAACCGGCTCGGCAGGCAGGATGGGCCGTCATGTCACAGCCAACCGGGGCCTCATCCGAGGCGTTGTCGCTGAGACAGCAGAGCTGGATGTCAGCGATGTCATGGCGATCCCCAGTGGTGCTGGGGTTCAACACACAGAAATAGCGAGAGAAATATTTAAGATATGGAGGAAAAAGGCTACTCTTAGGGGTAATACAAACCTGCTTTAGGATTTTTTTCTATGGATCTTAGGGAACTCCAAAGCTGAGGCTTTTATCTCTTACTCTTATCAGTGATTAAGAAGTGCACACTCAGGAATTGGTTTTGTTGACTGACTCCTTCTCCAAAATAACACGGTGCGCTTAAGCTTGACCGCAGCATCAGGGATGGTGTTTCATTCGATGGGCCCGGCCAGCCACTCCAGCCTCCCCTCACACGCTGCCGTCTGCACACGTGCACACGCACACCCACACGCACGCCATGCGTTTATTCGGCTCAGCTCGGCTGGCTCTCATGTTTTCAGGGCCCTCCTGGGTTGGCCTCTTCGCCAGTGGTGTCTCTTTAACTGGCCTGCCATCTGCCTGACGTTCAGCCTTCCTCCCCCTTTGGTGTCCGTGTTCGTTATTCCTGATTGTCTCCAGCATGTGACTGCAGCAAATAGCCTTATATGGACAAAGGGAGACTCCGCAAACAGTGGGATGATCAGGGAAACAGCAGGCTCTCATTGGAGGAGGAAACAGTGTTTATTCCAGGATGCCCAGAAGCATCTGTTCACCTGAGTAGGAGAAAAATCTATTTTGAAGCTCCCTTTATGTAAATGCCAATAAATGCAATAATTAGGACTCCTCTAAATAAATGCCAATATAAATACCAAAAATTGTTCTGAGGCAAGGCAAGTTACATAAATTGAGGCAGAAAAAAGGAAATAACAATAACTCAACAAGTGTTTTTTTCCTCTTTCATGAGTTTTCCCTCATCATTCACTACCAGCATCAGTTCTTCAGGAAATGAAAGGAGTGGTTAGGAAGAAAATTTGGAAGAGCAGCTTAGAGAGAAGGAGCTTTTGAAACCGGCCGCCGGCAGTTTGTTTCAGGTGGAGGTGGGCTGGGCGGAGGGAGAAGGAGGAGAGAAAGGTGCCAGGAAGCCACTTCTCTCACTCAAAAGAAATTCAATCTGAGCTGACCTTATCTTTGAATACATACTGTAAATAAAACCCCTCTCTCTTGTCTTTTTTTTTTAAACAGGAACCTCTGGAATTAAAATTCCCAAACATCTCTTATCCTGCCCTGGGGCTCTTAAAGGTAAAATCATTGTTTCCAGCAGACCAGAAGCACTGGCTGGGTTACCACTGGGGAATTGGAAAGATTTGTCAGGCCAGGAATTGGAAAGTGTTCCTTTTAGAATTCTTCTTCTCCCTTCAAAAGTATAAATACTTTCAATTTTTAAAGTGGGTCACATTCTATTACAGTGAAAACATCTGTGTTTTTCACTTTAGATCAACCTAACATTATAACTGAAATCTAAATTTCCACAAAATAGAAATTTCAGACGGGTGGTGTTTTACAAAGGGATATTTTTCTTCAAAAAAATGCTTAGCCAAAGGATCCTTTTAAATGCCAGCTCCTTATATTTGAAGTAGGTTTTGATTTTAAAACTTGATTTATATATACATTTCAGAAATACATGGCTCTTATGTAAAATGTTACACTCAATGTTCCCCCCGTATCCAAAAATATTTAATACATTTACTGATACATTTATAATATGATTTTAAAAAATGAGACAGAGGCTGGCCCAGTGGTGCAGCAGTTGAGTTCACACATTCTGCTTCAGCAGCCCGGTGTTCGCCAGTTCAGATCCCGGTTGCGGACACGGCACCAATTGGCACTCCATGCTGTGGTAGGCATCCCACATATAAAGTAGAGGAAGATGGGCACGGATGTTAGCTCAGGGCCAGTCTTCCTCAGCAAAAAGGGGAGGATTGGCAGCAGTTAGCTCAGGGCTAATCTTCCTCAAAAAACAAAAAGACAGTTCCTTGGGTGTGTAGTCGTGAGGTTTAATCTATCCAGGCTTGCGCCCTGTGGCCTACTTCCTGGTGAAGCTCATAGTTGAGACAGACGTAACATGAAGGGGTGTCTGTCGTGTGGCTCCTTCCACACATGCACATCTGTGCTTCTAATGCAGACTGCTTCTGGAAGAATATACCAAAAAAAAAAAGGATAGCTGGTTTTAAAAGGGAAATAGGAGAGCCGGAGTGGTGGAGAGACTTTGCTGAATCCTGTATGGATTTTATTTTTACCATGTGTGTTAGTTTTTAAATAAAGCTAGTTTTCCACAAAGTAAATGCAAGAGACCAAACCAGTCAGGTGGATTATTCCAGTTGGACACTGAGTTAAACTAAAAAAATTGTATCCTGCCCCCTCTGGGCGGGGCACCAACTGCATCAAGAACAGAACAAGGTGGAGAAAATGATTTTTTGTTACCATTTCTAGAAACTATTTATGAATAATGTATGTGCTTGTCCATTTAGGAATGATTGTGGAAGGAACTCAGATCATGATTGGTGTGTTTTTCCTACTTTTTTCCCCCTTTTGTTCCCAATTGAAGAGTTTAATCTTTGAAAGAAGAAAGATGATCTTAATAGGTTAGTACAATTTTAAAGAAGTAAGAGGAGGGAATTTTCTGTTCTTTCAGGGCTGTCTCCACATGAATCCTGCTGAGAGGCTCACGTGTGAACAGCTGTTACAGCACCCATATTTTGACAGCATCAGAGAAATAGGGGATTTGGCAAAGCAGCACGACAAACCAACAAGGAGGACCCTGAGACAGGCCCAGAAGCACCTGCCAGGGGTAAATACGGGGCCGGGCCTACAGACGTGTGCAGGGCTGCAGTTTCTGAGGCTCTTGTACCTGCCACCTGGGCAGAGTCTTCATCTGTACCTAAGGTGGCAGCCGCCTTGCCGCTCCAGCGTCCTCATTCCAGTGCGAGGAAGCAGGTCGCGTGATCTGCCAACCCGGGCCCCACAGACACCTGCCTCCCAAGGCTCCTTCTCCCTGGATCCTAACTGTGTCCCTGCCCACAGTTCCCTGTTGCCACACAGGGCAGGGGTGTTTGGCGTGATGAGCACAGGTCTCAGCCGGGTGCATGGGGGTCAGTGCAGCTGAGCGTGCTTCTTATGCTCCAGAAAAGGGAATCAGATTGATCCCAGGCTGTCATCACGTTTACCTTTAGTGTTGACTGACATTCCAGATTTATCCAAAAAAGGAACCGTTTTCCTCCCTGATCCTTCAGTCGTCAGAGCCAGCTACGGTCAATGCCGTGATGGGTGCTTCCGTGACAGCCCAGACAGGAGTTTAACCAGAGAACAGCGTCCAAGCTGCACACTGGGTGCCTGTGAAGAGTCGTGATTGGTGTAAAGCGGCAGAATGACCTGCATTCAGTGTCTTGTCATAAGCAGAAAGCTGTCATAGCTTAGAATGACCGCAGTTGGAACCACAACTGCAATGAGCTGGCTGCTCCTGGTCCCTCTGGGTCTGCCCTTAGCTGTGAATGACCTTTTCTTAGTCTTTCCTTTTGCAGCCCCCACACCAAGTGGCATCTGGGTGGTGTGCGTGAGGTTTGGGGGAGAGAAGAGGGTGGATGATCCATTAGGAGCAGGTGCAGCATGAACTCCAGGGCCCCGAGGTAGAGCAGCGTTACCAAGTCAGGAACGCTCTTGTTTTATTCTGTCATTTATGACCCAGGTTGCAAAATGGGCTGGAAATAGACCTTCCCTCCAGAGTTGCCCCTGTCTTGCTGTTTCTTTGTGTTCAAGAGTAAAGGGTTTGATGGACATATTTTTACTTGAAAGAATAGGGGAACTCCACTAATTTGTGTATCATTTGTAGGTCCTGAAGGATTCAACTATTTGATTTAAAACTACTAAAAAATACTTGCTTTTCAGACACCTAAGGCCAAATGGTAGAGTACAGAAAACAGATGCATGTCCTTACTTTCCTGTGATATTGACAATAAATTCAGATGTTTCCCCTGCAGCACAGGGAGCAGGTTCGCCTTTTTAACTCGGAGTAAGTGGGCACATGGCCTGAGTGCTGCACACATCAGTTGTCTTTGACACAAGACAAGGCATTGGTTTAAAAGACCCCTAAGGCCTCAGCAAGCTCTCAACTCCTGTGAACCTATGCTTTTGTGCAATAATGTTAGCATGTAGATTTTCCCTTCTTTTTCATAGTCTCTAAATTTTCTTTAATGTGGATGTTTTGCTTTTTTGTGTAAAATAAGCCTTTAAAAGGAAAAGCACAGACTAAATTTAAACATTTTGTCCTTTCTCAGGTCCTGGATTCTGTGCACAAAAAGCGTTTCTGTGCTGAAAAACTTATTTACCTCTTTCGCGATGTGTTATCAGTAATGAGAAAAGTGCCGGCATTGACCCTGATTCTGTGTTTGTATTTTCAGCTGCAGTGCCTGCCTCAGCTGACCACCAGTAGCATCCTTCCCGCCCTTGGTAACAAGAAGTACCACTGTTACACCAAGAAACCGGACTATCGATTTCCAAACATCTAAGGAGCTTGGAGATGGATGACAAAAAAGCGTTAATCAATGATTTGAAAAAATGAAACATACATTTGATTGAAATCACAACGTTGAAAAAACATCAGGAGGAAACAGAAGTAACTAACTCGGGGCAGCCACTTGGCAGGACTGGAAGGGAAATTCCAGAGGCAGTCTTCCATGTGTGATGGTGGCGTCCAGGGCAGGAAGGAAAAACTTGCCGAGATTTTCACTTGTATTTTTGTTGTATCTAAGTAGCTGGCCTTATGACCAGAATATAAACCGTATCTACTGCCCATACCTCTGGCAGAATTAGAGATGTAAAAAGGATTTGTGGGGCTGGTCCCATGACTTAGTGGTTAAGTTCAGTGTACGCTGCTTTGGAGGCCTGGGTTCTGTTCCTGGGAGTGGACGTACACCACTCATTGACGGCCATGCTGTGGTGGTGACCTACATACAAAATAGAGGAAGATTGGCACAGATGTTAGCTCAGGGTAAATCTTCCTCAGCAAAAAAAAGATTTGGGTGTCCATTGTACCATATGCAACAAGTGAAAAGTCGATTACAGAGGGGCCAGCCAGGTGGTGTAGCAGTTAAGTTTGCTCACTCTGCTTTGGCAGCCCAGGGTTTGCTGGTTCGGATCCCAAGCGTGGACCTATGCACTGCTTATCAAGCCATGCTGTGGCAGGCATCCCACATATAAAATAGAGGAAGATGGGCACAGATGTTAGCTCAGGGCCAGTCTTCCTCAAAAAAAAAACACTTATAGAACCCCCGTATTTCCCTGGGTCTGTTGCCTTGAATCCTATCTCCTGCCTTTTCAGATTGCCTCAACATCATATTTGAGGAGAGTTTTAGTTCTTGAAATCAAAATGTTTAAAATTCCATTCCCTGCTTGCTCTCTTGATTTTTATATTTTAAAACATTTTTGGGGAGATTTAAGAGTTGCTCAAAATATTTAAAATCATATGGATTATCATAAAAGTGTGGTTCACATGCTTATATATTTAATGATGTGTTTATAGACATCTCTCAATATGCTTTGCCTTGAGTAAAGGATGCGTCTTAGTCATTCTGCTGGGAGACAGATTTACCGTAACCCATCTCCATGGGCACAGTTGCCCTTCCCACAGAGGCACAGGCTCCATGGCTGATGAGGTGATCAAGAACAAGGCCTACAGGCTTCGCAGGAACAGGCCTGTCAGCCTGAAAGTAATTAGTACTTCATTCTGTCCAGCTCCGCCTCCAACCTGGAGACAGATCGACAGGCAGGACTGGCTATAGCAATCTGGGTTTCAGAAGACACTGCTTGTGAGCTTTCACTTGGGCCATGAAAGACAGTAGGTTGCAAACTGATGTTTTCCCTGAAATATCTTTTTACACTATACATATGTATGTATGTATATATACACACACATGCATATATATCTACATACACGTGTATATATACCATCCTGGCAACTGGAAGATAGCTAATAATGAGAAAGTAGTCCAAAGTGATATTGAGGACTCCTAGCTTTGATTTGGCCTTGATTTTGCTCCTATTCAGAAAGCTTCTTCATGCCTGTTCCCTGGATACAGGGCAACATGGAGCTCGCATCTCACAGATCAGCACCATTTTGGTTGACGTCCTGCTGCTATTTCCTAGCAGTTCTCAGCTGCGGCTTTTGAAGTTGTAGGTTACTGTATCTTCAAAAGGTTTCTTCTGCACCCTATTTACTGCTATGTTGATTTTCTTCATGAGAACATTTGACCCTGTTCACTCACTGCTAAGTAATCCACCAAATGCTGGCGTCCGTTCAAGAACTCTGGCTCCCCCAGCCTGTTCAGTGGTTTCCTAAGGCCCCCTGATGTCGGTAGCTCCTTGCATGGAGCTGATAGTGGATTCAGTACGAGTCCCAGGATTATCTTATTCTTGTTACACAGCCTTGATTCAGATGACAGGGAAGGACATCCAACTTCTGTGAGTAGTTTATAGTTTTTGGGTTTTTTTCCTTAACCCAAAACAATGCACTTGACGAGGCAGATGACTACAACTGCCTAACTCATCTAGTAGTTTTACTGAAAACCACGCAGAATAGAAAAGGAGCTCCAGACTAAACTGTGGTGAACCGTTTGCCTCACCACCCAGTAATCAAACCTGAGGGAGAAGTGTTCATCTCTTTTCTCTCGAGTTCTACTAAATGTATGCCTATGCTTAATTTCAGCGTATCTGTAATCCTTTCTGCAGCATGGAATCATCAGTTTCATGAAGACTGTTCTACATCCTTGTCTTTTTTTTTTTTTTTACTATTTTCTGATTTTTTTAAATGTCAGCTGCGATTATATTAGTAAATAGTGTATCATTTATGCTATGTGCTATTTACCTTAGCTTGTTCTAAACCCAACTAAAATTCCTTTTTCTTCCTGAATGTTGCATCATAGAAAGTGTTTAAAACTATTTCCACTGGGGGCTGGCCCCAGGGCCAAGTGCTTAAGTTCGTGCATTCTGCTTCGGCGGCCCGGGGTTTCGCTGGTTCGGATCCTGGGAGTGGACATGGCACGGCTCATCAGGCCACACTGTGGCAGCATCCCACATAGAGGAACCAGAATGACCTGCAACTAGGATATACAACTATGTACTGAGGCTTTGGGGAGAAAAAATAATTTCTACTCAAGGTTGTATTCAACAACTTAATGTTCAAACCAAACATACAGAAGTCCACAAACAAGTTGGTATATGATTAATAACAGAATCAGGGCCATTTCAAGTGGGTAAAAATAAAGATCTATTTTTATCTATTTATGATATTCTTTATCACAGCTGGGCTGGTCTTCATGAATGTTCCCTCTGTTCCACCACAACCAGCACAACTATTTGAATTCAGCCAAGCATTTATGACTAGTTTTAAAAAACTTTACACACAGAAAAAAACAACAGACTAAGCTTACAAAACAGACAAAGTAGCCAGAGCTATTCATTCAGAGAAAGGGTGTGTATAATAAAGACCACAAGAATGAGCATGCAAATCCTGGGAGCAACATGAAGCCTCGTCAACCAGACCACTTGGTGTGAGTGGCTCCTCCATCAGGGATCTGAAATGTAGCTTTCAGTGTTTCCTAACTGTACATTCATAGGAACATGCTTCAATAACTTTCAAGTAAAATGTAACAAATTACTGTTAAAATACAATAAAGAATATCTACATCAAGAGCTATCTATATGAGGAATACATTCAAATTAAAATGCTACCTGGTTTACATTTTTCTTAAATGACTTAATGTACATAAATTCTCCCTTCCAACTTAGTAACTTGAGTGAGTCACATCTGAATATTTATTTTCTACATGATGGACTCTCTGCTTCTAAAATGTCATGGTATGGCATCCGTATAATTTTATTGATGATTATATAATATTTGTTGCTGTTTAGGATCGCCAATTTCAAATGATACTTCATATTGAAATAAGACACTTATTGAATATTATTATTTTACTTCAAATCTAATTTTAGTTCCAGAGAAGGCAGTGTTGTTTTAAAGACTTGGACAAGGTTTTCTTTTTCTCTTATTCCAGGAAGATCACTTAACAACAAATACTTGAGGTTTCTGCAAAAAGAGAAAGAAAAAAAGTTACTTCAGTTTGGCCTTTACTCTTATAGCATTAAAATAAACTTGATTTATTGACTTTTAGAAAAAATTACACACAGAATGTGTTTCTATCACCCTACACTTTCAAAATGACACCTAGAACAGTCACCTGAGAGCACGACCTTAAATGAATTCACGCCAGGAACTAAGGCAGACTTTGGAAAGATTGGTTCTTCTGAACTACATCAGTAATTCTAGCTGGATCCTTCCAAATATTATACGTACATTATGGCACAGAAGTCCTCTGCATGTGAAATACAAAATATGAATCCTGACCCAGAAAGGGAAAAAAACTGGGAAAGTTCTTAAAGGAACTCAAATTTCTATTAAAAGATGAAGCCTCAACTAATGTACCAGACAATCTGGTACTTTTGGTTCTAATGTTTAAAGTTCCCCAAACTTCCTGTAATACCGAGGTTGCTGGCAGAACACGGGGAAACTGCTTTAAAGACGGCGAGGGCACTCAATGGCGGATGCTCATCGAGAGCTGACCATAGCAGGCACCACACAGGGCTTTGTGTGCATGCAACTTTTTAAAAAGATGCTCCCTAAAAAATGCAATAAAACCATAACATGTTAAGGTCGATAATTTTAACTGTTTTAAAGTAATATAGATGAAAGTTCAGTCGTTTTCTTAAATTACATTTTTCAGAACTGAAAAAAGACACCACCCCTCCACTGCTGTAAATGCTGCTCACTCACCTGAACATCATCAAGTTTCCACCGGGGCCCTGACCACATACCTCAGACGGTGCAAAGCTGCCACCCCTTTGTCTGTGACATTCCCACAGGAAATTATTTCCATTTCCAACACGCTTTTCTGTAAGTTTTCAAGTTGACTAAGTCTCTCCAAACAGGCATCCTCGATGTAATGACACTTGCAGAGCCTTATTTTTTCCACATGCCGTAGGCCTTCTGGGGAAAACAAAGTCCAGTTGAAGAATCTGCTGTACCTTTAAGATGACCAACTGTCCGAATTTGCCCAGGACTGCTCTGGTTTTAGGATTGAATGTCCCATGTCCCGGGAAACCTTTCAGTTCCAGGAAAACTGGATGGATTAGTCAACCCTCTAACCACACAAGGTATTCACTAGACAGGCTGCGCTGATGGACAAGGCCGGTCTGCACTCAGATGCCCTTGTGCTAGAGGAAGAAAGACCCACGCAAGCAGAGGCTGTGTGGATACGATTATTCCTATGTTACCGAGGGTTTCTCAGGACAGAAGTTTGACAAAGACGGCTTGACAAATAAGGCCTTGGATTTTAAGTCAATAAACCACAGAATAAAGGCATGTAGAGACAAGCTTAGTGAGGGGAGAAAGAAGAGGAAGGTGTGACCTCTAATTTAAAAATAAGTATCAAGCACAGAAGGAAACTAACTGGATTGTACTGAAAGGGCACGAAGGACACACCCATGACCACAACCGCACGTCAACTGTAACAAAGTGTCACTGCGACCCACAGCATTTCCCATAAGCAAAGGACAGGCAGTTACCCATGTGGTCAAACCCAATGTTCATGATACAGGAGTCGGTGGCGTCGATCGCCTGAATCTTGTATTTGTCCAGAGGGCCTGTCGGGAGGTGGTTGTAGTCCTTCTGCCACCTCTCCTGGCCCTGGTAGCGCACCATAGCCCCACAGCGCAGCAGCCACTCGGACGCCGCCCTGTCGGGACCAACGTCCCGGATGCGTTCGTGATCCACTCTGTCGGCCGGAGGACAAAAGCAGTTAGCTTTCACCGTGATCACTGGCTTCTTACCTAGATTCACCAAATAAATACAGAATAGCAACAACTTTTCATTTCAAATGAGGCGGGAGAGACATATATCAGTGAGGGCCACGTAAAAACATACGATGGCTCTGCCTGCTACCCTGTATGCTTTTGTTTTTGTTTCCAAGTGAACTCTGTCAAGACATGCTATTTTGATGAGTTTATCAGGCCGACACGAGTCTTCATGGGTTCGTGTTGCACAGTAGCTTGACACCAGGAGGTACTCAGTAACTACGCACTGAATGAATGACTAGACTTGGTTATCATTTTTATTAATGATACAAGATTAAAGAGGGAATAATTTTGAACCTTTGTCCAAATTAATGTCATTTAGTGATATTTATTAATGTCTACATATGCCTGTTTCTCTAGTTAGTGGTATGAGTGCTGTATTAGGCAAAGAGGAGGTTAGTTTCATTAGTTTCAAAATATTTCTAAGCATGCAACCCACTGACTTTTCAAAAACTTGAGTTTCCTGGATAGTATTCAGAAGGCTAACTACATCCCTTAAGAAGCCATAGAATAAAACATTCTAAAAGTACATTTACTGAGCTTTTCTTATCATACAATAAATGTTCATTTTAGAAAACCTGGAAGGCATCAAAACGACAAACAAAAGAAAAATCACTGAAATCCTGACCCGACAGTCACTGTTCATATTCTGTCATCTATTTTTCTGGTCTTTATTGAGTGCTTGTGTGTATGTTTTATTTGTTTGTTTTTGAACAAAATTAGGATCATACTGCATACATTGCACAAAAACATGTGAAATACAACAAATAAACAAATTAGCTGCTGGAAAGTCATCAAGCTGTAACAGTCCCCAAGTTTCTTCACTTTGGTTGAGTAACTTACTTATTAAACACTGCATTCAACCAGCCCCAGAAGTGTCTGGAGTCACATGACCATGGGAGTTTCTTTAAGCCACACAACCGCTGGGAAATTGTTCCAAACAGCATCATTGGATCTAGACACACAAAACAGTATTCGTATTAGATCATCAGCTGGCAATCTGAGTCCCATACACATAGTAACTCACTCCACAGCTTCAAAGTCAAGACTCCGTGCCGAGAAAGCTGATGACTCGCTTGCCCCTCAGTAGTTACTGGGCAAGTCACTCTGGTCTCTGTTTCTTGGTTTCTTTTGCTGCAAAAACGAGGGGCTGAACTGGAGGGTCTCCATGGTTCCTTCCAGCCTTGACGTCAAGTCCCATTGTTCAATCCTCAACTGGAGCTGGCCTGCAGTGTTGCCACCTGGTGTCCACTCGGGCAGTGCACCTACAAACTTGCTGGAACCAGCTCCACTTGCACTCTGCATTTCCAGTGTCACCGTGACAGACAGTCACCAGGGGACAACGTGCGGAGGGTAAGACACTCACACGCAAGAAGAGGGAGGAGACACAGCAGACCTCCCCATGGCAGGCTGCAATCGTGCCAGCACAGCAGTCAAAGCACTGCCAGGGCAGCCGGGAGAGACGGGCCAGGCGGGGCCAACTCTCCCACCTGGGCCTTCTCATTTGTAAGATGAGACGATTTGCTCAGACGATTTCCAGCTGTAAAAGTCTGGAACTGTGAGTTGAGACAGGGATTTCTGGATTGGGTCTCCACGTGATTAACCTCAATTCGAGTTTCTCTAGTGTGCGCCCGGTGCAGCAAAGACACAGACAAACGAAAGGTGGTCTCTGCCTTTGAGGAGACCGAAATCAGGCTGCAGTGAGCGAAAATGAGTCACCAGGTCCTCAAAATGCATGACGGAACCTGATAAATACCCCAAAGAGTGAAAATAAGGACAGACCAGGGTTTCAACAGACACGGATGCCAGGAAAAGTTCTGTCGGGTGACCAGTGGGGGCCGGAATGTTTCAGGCTGTGGTGGTTCACTTTGGGCAGCACGTGGGGCCAGGGGAGGAGGCCGACAGTTTACGAAGTCAGGTCAGGAGGGCTGTGGCACGGTCGGCCAGGCGTTTGCACGGTCTTCTGCAGGCAGCCGGGAGTCAGCGAGGTTTCAGCGCAGAGCACTGGACTGTCGGAGCTACGACTCGGGAATACTACTCAGACAGCGGCAGCAAGGTCGAGGATCAACAGAACAGGACAGAGAGTCAGCTAGCCAGGGCTTTTCCCGTGGTGCCGGGAAGAAAGGGAAGGGCACCGCAGAGGGCACTCCACATGGCCTGGGAGGGAGACACACGGCAACGGCCAGAGGCGCTGAGGATGACGTAAGTTTTGGTCCTGGGTCACTGGTAGATAGTGATGCCATTAACAGAAATCCGGGTTGTGGGTTCAGGGTTTCTCCCCCCAGTTTTTTATATTCTAAATATGAAGTGTTGGCAGCACTTCTAAGTGGAAATGACCAACAAATCACTAGAATCATAGTCACAAAATTGTAGAGCTGGAAGGAACTCAGGCCACCCAGACTAAACCTCTCACTTAGAGATGAGGAAAGCGAAGCCCTGATAATAAGAAACTTGCTGACACCCTAAATCCTTTCTGGAACAAGGCGGGGTATTAATAAACGCACGTGTTTAAAAGGACTTGCCCAAGGTTTCATGGCTAAGTGGTGGCAGCGCTGAAATGCAAACCTAGTTCTCTCTCCTACCAGACCAGGGCTCCTTCCTCAGTCACTGGATGGTTCTAGAACGCAGGAAATGAAGAGGAACAGAAAGAGGCCTGAGTGGGAACCACCTAGAGCTGAGGCAGTGACTGAGGATGCTGAGAGAGACGAGGTCTGAGGGCGCAACTTGGCGCACCTGCCCTCCGCCTTCTCTGCCATCACTCTGCCTTCCTTACTGCAAACCTCCCGCTCCCACTCCCACGCCCCGGCCCCTCCCGCTTTGTGTTAAAGCTCTCCCCTGTGCCCGCCTCTAACAGCTCCATTGGCTGCAACTTCATTTACACATCTGGGCTTTCTGGCTTCAACTCAGGCTGCTCCCTCTACTTACTGTCCCTTCCCGGCCCCCCATCCTGACTGTGGAAATCTTACCCAACCTCAAGACTTTATTCAAATGCCATCTCCATCCACCCATCCATTCATTCACTCAATAAATATTTACTGAATGTCTGCTAAACTTAGTGCAAGAGATACAATGGTAAGATAAAAACAAAACAAACAAGGAGAGACAAACATTCCTGTCCTCATAGAACGTACAGTCTCGTGAAGAAGACAGACAACATGTAAAGAAAGAACATGCAATATGGTGTGTTCACAGAGGGACGAACGAGTCTGAGAGCCTGGAGGAGGGCGTGAGGGCGAGGCTTCACATCAGAGGTGTCCTGTGAGATGCGTCTTACCGTTCCCAGTTGGGCAGAAGAAACAAAAGTATGCAGGGAGAAGAGAAGAGCAAGGACCACATCTCATTCTTTCTCGTGTCCTTAGCACCCGGCACAGTGCCATCTCCCTGGTGCCAGCGTGAAATGAACATTTGCTAATTAAGTCTCCAGTGGCTGGTATTTTTCCAGAGAGAAAGGGAGAACCAGAGAGACTCACTGAGCAGGTAAATGAGAGCAGTCCGTGAGAACTGAAGTACCCTCACCGGATTCACTCGGCCCACCTCATTACTCAGCTTAAAGGAAAGGCCACATTCACCCCGGCTGTGATCTCTAAAAATACTATTATACTTAAAATAATTTAAACGTAAAAACAAAATTTTTAGGGGCCGGCCTGGTGGCGCAGCAGTTAAGTGTGCATGTTCCGTTTCAGCGGCCCGGGGTTCGTTGGTTCAGATCTCGGGTGTGGACATGGCACCGTTTGTCAAGCCATGCTGTGGCAGGTGTCCCACATACAAAGTAGAGGAAGATGGGCACGGATGTTAGCTCAGGGCCAGTCTTCCTCAGCAAAAAGAGGAGGATTGGCAGCAGATGTTAGCTCAGGGCTGATCTTCCTCAAAAATAAAAAACAAACCCCAAATTTTTATTTGGCAATAAGGGTAAAAAAATAAAAACTGTGACTTTGCTAATTGATTTCAGGAATTTCAGCGGAATCCAAGCAGCCTCTGAGACTGCTTTCTGCAGGGGAAGAGGAGACCTCTACTGGCCAGTGGTGAATTTAACACTAACGAATTAGAAGAAAGCAGTAAAAACCAAGTTAAAAAATAACCGCTACTACATTACTGCTGTGATAAGTAATTCAGGAATTAAAATCCTTAAAAAACAAAACCAAACTTCTTCTTACTATCAGAACATGGCTTAGGGCCATAAGTTTGAACAGATGTTTCTAAAAGTTGCAATTATGTTTGTGACTTACAGAAGGCCAGACCTCTAATGTGGGACTCAAAATAGGATACATACAGTGTTTCTGAGTCAGTTTGATTGAGAGTTCTCCTATTTGCACAAAAACATTAATTTTTTTTAAGAGTCGAAGTTCTGTTTTCATGTATTAAATGTAATTACTATGGTGGGCTATTCAAAGTGATGGCTAACTTAGTGGTCAAAAAACCTGACCTAGCGAACTAGTTCTCGAGGGTGGTAAAAATGAGGAGAGAGGGGTGGGTGGCATCAGAATTAGGGTGATTTTTCCCAAATTACAACCTGTCTCACTGCAAATCACTCATTATTGATGCCAATTCTTATTACTGAAGTGTGTAGAGTCTAACAAAATAGAACAGAGCAATTCATTAAGAATTGGAAGCAAAGGTCCCAAAAGCCATTCCTAGCCCGACATTACATGGCAGTCATTGAAATACATCTTACAGGTTCTGACACAGACGGAAGATGAACAGGAATTCTCAGCTGAGGAGGTGTCATGAATGCAAACGTCCCCAACCAAAGACATTATAGGGTGTGTGAACGTAAAGTGAGCTCTTGATTTGAGATTACTTAATTGAAACAAATTAAGGTACAGTCATGCATCACTTGATGATGGAGATAGTTCTGAGAAATCATTAGGGAATTTCATTGTTGCACAAACATTATGGAGTATACTTACACAAACCTAGATGGGACAGCCTACTACACACCTAGGCTGCATGGTCTAATCCTATGGGACCGCTGCAGTATAAGCAGTGCCTCACTGACCAAAATGTCACTATGCAGTGTACGACTGCAGACTGAAACCTGGGGAAAGGGTAAGCAGAAAAAATTTTATAAAAAGGGCATGTGTCCTGTGAGTTCTCTCCCCTTGCTAAACTAAGCAGCACACAATGAAAAATCACACGACAGTAAAAGAGCCACTACCACAGGTCCAGGTGGCCCGTGAAAGTCTGACCCTAGAAGTCTATCGTTCTGTATTCAACCTAATAACAAATCAAAGACATCCTGTGCAAACTGAAAAATAACCATTTCCTCTACATACCTAGTAGAATGATTAAAATAAATAGTGACACCACCAAATGCTGGTGACAATGAGGAGAAACTGGATCACTCAAACATTGCTGGTGGGAATGTAAAAAGGTGCAGCTTCCTTGGAAAACAGTTTTGTCAGTTTCTTACAAAACTAAACATGTGCTTGTCATATGACTCAGCAATTGGACTCTTGGGCATTTATCCCAGAGAAGCAAAAACAAGTTCACACAAAAAGCTGTACACTAATGTTCATAGCAGCTTTATCCAAAATAGCTAAAAACTGGACACAACTCAGATTCCTTCAGTGGGTGAACGGTTAAACATACTGTGGTACATCTACACCATGAAATACTACTCAGCAATAAGAAGGAATGACCTGTTGATACAGGCAACAATCTGGATGGATCTCAACAGATTACGCCGAGTGAAAATAGCAATTCCAAAAAGTTATGCATTGTATAATTGTTTATATAACATTCTTGAAATGACACAATTTTAGAAAGGGAGAACAGATTGGGGCAGGAGGTGCCCTGGCACGAGGGAGGTGTAGTTACAAAAGGAAAACTGGAGGATCCTGGTGGTGATGGAACCGTGCTGTAGCTTGACTGGGGTGGTGGATACAGGAATCTACACACGTGATAGAAACTGTGGAACTAACCGCACACACAAATGTGAAACTGGGGAAATCGGAGCAAGATCAACAGATCGGTCAAGGTCAATTTCCTGGTTGTGATACAGTACCATCCTTTTGCAAAGTCTTATCCCTGGCGGGGCTGGGTAATGGGTACACAGGACCCCCACGGGTTCTTATAACTGCTTGGGAATCCACAAGGATCTCAAAACAAAACACTGAGTTTAAAAAATTACCATCTCGTTTTTTTCATTTGTGATGGAACACGCAATGACAATCTACATTGTTTTCACACATAAAGCAAACCACGGACAACTGTCCAGGCGGTAAAACCATTTAAACACACTAAAAGCAGTCATCCACGGAGAACTTCCCTGGCTGACGCCTGCGGGGCCGCCGCCCGCCACCCCACACGAGCCTATGGGCAGCGCGGCCGGTGCTCAGTTCCCAGAGGGTCGGAGGCAGGGGGGTGAGCTGACCTCCCAAAGCCCGACGAATGACCCGAACCAGATTCACACAAAGCCCTCCCAGCAAGACAGCGCATCACTCCATCTTTGTTCTGATCAGCTGTCTCGACCCTAAAAGTTAAAAACGGCGGGAGCGCTAGATGATGGCAGAGACCGAGCCGTCTGTCCCCTTGGGGCCCGTAGTCACAGGACCAGGAAGGACTGGATGCACAAAAGTCCAAAGAGCGCAGCTACGGGACAGACAGCCTGGGACTGGGCGGCTGGCGCTGCGCCGGGAGGGGGAGGAGCCTCGGGGCCGGAGGGCGGGGCCTCGAGGGGCGGGGCCCGCGGCTGGGGCGGGGCCTCGAGGGGCGGGGCTCGGAGGGGGGCCGGGGACCGCTGGGCCTCCCGTCGTCACGCCCAGACCTCCTCCCGGGGGCCCGAGTCCGCTCGGCGGTGAAGGTCGAAGAGCCGGGCCCTGCTTTCAGCAACCCCGGCGACGGGAGAGGGGCAGGGGCAGAGCGGGAGCACCCCCAGCCCCGCCCCGCGCGGACCTCGGGCCCCTACTCACAGCGTCTGAGGGAGGGAACGAGCCAGCGAGCGTCCCCGCGTCGACGGCGGCGCGGCCTGCCCTCCGCCCCCCGCCGCGCGCGCCCATTGGCCGCCGGCCGCGCTCCCACGTGGGGCGGGGGCGCGCGCCTGATTGGCCCCTGCGTGGGGCGGGGCTGGAGCGCGCGGGGCCCGCAGAGTCGCGCTGACGGGGTCGTGGCGCCGGTCATGGCGCCCGCGCTGCGCTACCTGGGCGGGGCCTGCGCGCGGGCGCGCGGGGGCTTCTCCGGGGCCTTGGCCTGGGGTTGGGGGCCCGCGCCGGGGGCTCCCTGGCCGCTGGGCCGCGGTGGCCGCAGGGCCAGCACCAGGTGAGTCGCCGGCGGCCAACCCCGCCGCCCGCGCTGCCGCCTCCAGGTGCCTCGTGCGGGCCTGTGCCCTATTCCACCTCTGCCCCTGTGCCCTATTCCACCCCTGCCCCAGTGTCCCTTTGCACCCCCTGCCCCTGTGCCCCTGCCCACCCCCTGCCCCTGTGTCCCTTTGCACCCCCTGCACCCCTGCTCACCCCCGGCCCGTGTCCCTATTCCACCCCTGCCCCTGTGCCCCTGCCCACCCCCTGCCCCTGTTCACCCCCGGCCCGTGTCCCTATTCCACCCCTGCCCCTGTGCCCCTGCCCGCCCCCTGCCCCCGTGTCCCTCTTCCACCCCTGCCCCTGCTAACCGCCTGTCCCTATGTCCCTATTCCACCCCCGGCCCAGGCGCGGGAGGAGGTGGCGTCCTGTGGAGCCTGGCTCAGCCGGCCGGACCCTGGGCTCCCTGCAGGAATCACGGGTCGTGTCAGTGGGCCGGAGAAAAAGCACGAGGGACGTGGTGCTGAGTGGAGGTCAGGAGCAGCTCTCCTTTCCTCCCTGTCCACTCTGGGCTGATTACCGAGGCTCCTGACGGCTCAGCGGTGACCAGGGTCTTAGTGTCTGCCGCAGGTGGTCGTTTGAGGATTAAAGGTCCTGGCGCGCTGTAAGCAGTCAAATGTGCGGTTTCTTAGCTGGCGTCTCTGGTGTCACTTGGAAGATCTGGCTCCGGTCTTAAATCAGTCGGATCCTGGCACAGGCTGCATCGAGGTGGCCTGGGGGAAGCAGTTAGGGTGCCAATTGAAGCCTGCAGAATTCAGTGTCCTGGGAATTGAAGTTTGGAGGTCACATCGGAAACCACTGTTTTTCTCTGCTCTCCGTAGAGGGAATGGTTTATGCAGAGGCTTTAAAGCTGCAAAGCTCTTGGCTCTTAGGAGAACTAGAAGGTGGTCAAGATGAGGTTGATGAGCTTAGCCGGGCAGAGATGGTGTGGGATGACACCAGAGAGGGGCTGCCTGGCTGCAGGGTTTTTGTTTTACTTTAACTACACGTTGAATTTTATTCTAAGAGCATTGGGAGGCTTTTAAAGGGTCTTAAAGAAGTAATTAAATGTCTCAAAAGTTGACTTTGGCTGCTGGGTGTTAGCGGATTGGACGGGGATTACAGTGGCCTAGGATTGGTGATTCATTGTAGGGGTATGTAGACAATTGTTTTGAAAAGATTCTCAAGGGAAGAAAAGTAGGGTTGGTGAAGGTTTTGTTTATACTTTTTATTTTGAAATAATTATAGATACGTAGGAAGTTGCCCAAAAAGCAGCTCTCATGTACCATGCACCCAATTTATCTCAATCATAATAGCTTATATAACTGCAGTACAATATCAAAACCAGGAAATTAACATTCATACAATCCACAGACCTTGTTTAGATTTCATCAGTTTTACATAGACTTGTGTGTGTGTGTTTCTATGCAATTTAATCATGTGTTAATTTATGTAACTACCACCCAATTAAGAAACAGAAATGTTCCATCAATACAAAGATATCCCTGGTGTTACCTACCCCTTTATATTCACTTTCCATCTCTCCAACCTTCCTAACCCTTGGCAACCAATAATCTGTTTTCCAGCTCTATAATTTTGTCATTTTGAGGATATTATGTACGTGGAATCGCACAATATATAACCTCTTGAGATTGGCTTTTTTCATGTGGTATAATGTCCAGGAGATCCATCCAAGGTGCTGCCTGTAGTGGTCGTGTCTTCCTTCTGATTGTCGAATAGCATTCCATGGTGTGGATGTAGCACAGTTTGGTTAACCACTTGCCAGTTGAAGGATGTTTGGGCTTTTTCCAGTTTTTGGCTATGCGAATAAAGCTGCTATGAACATTTATGTACAGGGTTTTACATGAACGTAAGTTTTCATTTCCCTAGGATAGATGCCCAAGAGTGCAGTCATTAAGACATGTAGTAAGCACGTTTAATTTTTTAAGAAACTGCCATACTCTTTTCCAGAGTGGCTGTACTATTTTACATTCCAGCCAGCAATGTGTGAGTGGTCCAGTTCCTCCATCCTCACCAGCATTTGGTGTTAGCACTTTTTTTTGTTCTAGCTATTCTGATAGAGGTGGAGTGATATCTCATTGTAGTTTTAATTTGCGTTTCCCTAGTGACTAACGACATTGAACATCTTTTCATGTGCTTATTTGCCATCTATATATCTCTCCTCCTTTTTTTTTCTTCTCCCCAAAGCCCCCCAGTACATGGTTGTATATAATAGTTGTAGGTCCTTCTGGTTGTTCTGTGTGGGATGCCGCCTCAGCATGGCCTGGTTAGAGATGCCATGTCTGCGCCCAGGATCCACCCTGGTGAAACCCTGGGCCAACGAAGCAGAGCGCGCAAACTCAACCGCTCGGCCATGGGGCGAGCACTCTCCCTCCTCGTTGTTGAAGTGCTTGTTCATGTCTGTCACTCGTTGTCGATATGGCTTGTTTGCTTTGAGAGTTCTTAATATATAGTCTAGATGTGAGTCTTTTGTCACGTGTGTAGTTTGCAAGTCTTTTCTTCCAATTTTTTGGTTGTCTTCTTATCCTCTTAACAGGGTCTTTGCAGGGCAAAAGTTTTTAATTTTGATGAAGTCCATTTTGTCAATTTTTTTCTTTTATGGATCATGCTTTTGGTGTCAACTCTTCCTAGCCCTAGATCCCAAAGATTTTCTTGTTTTCTTCTTAAAGTTTTACAGTGAATATTTGATGATATAAAAATTTGTTAATTTTTTTAGTTAGAATAATGGTATTGTGTGTGTGTTTTTAAGAGACGTTTTAGAAATAACATATTGAAATATTTACAAATGATGTTTAGGATTTACCTTAAAATAATGTAATACAGGAGGGGGTAAAGTAGGTGGGGTGTAGAAGCAGCAGGGTTGGCCATGTTCCTGTAAGACCTGGATATGTTGACATGAGATCAGTGCTGAAGGTAACCTTGTAGTCTTCTCATTGCAGAGTTAGACTGTACATGCCCTTTCTAATTTGTGAAATGGTTGTGTGTTCAGGGTTTGTCATGGCTAAAATTGTGGTTCTGAGCCCATTTCTGGACCACTTATTTCCCTAAGGTTTGATGTTCTCACCGGCTGTTTCCTTCTCAGCAGAAAAAAAAAATTATAAATTCTTGCACACCGAGGCATTAAAGCCTTGATGGTGGCTTAGCCTCAGAATACTGCACTTGGATTTGTAGAGAATAGAGGGTAGAGAATAGGGTGATGATCGCTGATGTGTGCGTCCCCCTACCCTGGGCAGAGCACCCTGCAGATTTAGAGCAGCTTTGGTGGAGCTGATTGTATGACCCACCAGCCATGCCTGTAACTTTTAAAGGGTTTTTCATTAGTATAAAGCGAAATAGCACAAAGCCTGATGAATATTTGATTTTAATGATAAATTAGTAGTTTAATTGTCCATTGATGATGAAAATATGCATGAGAAGTTTGATGAGGTCTGTAAACATGCATTACTTTAAAGATGACTTTCTCTTAAAGCTCGTTTGATGTAGTCATTGTTGGTGGTGGAATTGTGGGGCTTGCCTCTGCCAGAGCCCTCATCCTGCGGCATCCAGCACTTTCCATTGGTGTTCTGGAAAAGGAGAAAGATTTAGGTATGTATGTATGATTGGGTATGTATGTTATCAGTGTTGCTCTTTGAGCTTCACCGGAGCACCTGTTCGTTTCGTCAGTTCTGCATCATTGATGCCTGATGTCGACGGCAGTGTCCGAGTCTGCGTTCTCTAGAAAGCGGAGCTGGGACTAGTACTGGGGTCTAAGTCACTTATTTGAGGGGTTATCTGAGGAGACAGGAGTGAGAGGATGGGGAGAGTCAACTGCAAAGGAGGAGGATGCTTTATCAAGGTTGCTGCTGTGAGCTTCATTCCACCGGGACCTCTGAGGAGCTACCAAATGTTTCCCAAGATTGTGCTCATTTATCCATCAGCTTCTGTCCCTATTGGTTGAAGACTGTCACTAGGGATGTTGAGTTTGCCAAACCACCAAACATTAGAAAAGGCTCTGGGCAGAATGCAGGGAGCTCTTGTGGGCCCTTGAAGTGGTGTGCTGATAGTGAGAGGTGAGTTTGTGCACCGGTTGTAGCTGAAGTCAGAGGTGGGCTGGAGGGATTTCACACGGACTACACTTGGCCGCCAGAGGAAGCTACCAGTGCTCTGACTATAAGAACAAACTTGAGCGGAGTTTAGAATAATGTGATCTCTAATAGCTTCAGCTATAAGTTTGTTGCCCCACTGCCTAGATTTTGTATGAGTCATGTCCTTTTTCTTACCCTGTTTCTCTCGTTCTGTAGCTGTTCACCAGACTGGACACAACAGTGGTGTCATACATAGTGGAATTTATTATAAACCTGAGTCTCTGAAAGCTAGATTATGTGTGCAAGGTGCGGCCCTCATCTATGAGTACTGCAACCAAAAGGGGATTTCCTACAAGCAATGCGGCAAGGTATGGCGTTTTACCAGGGCCTTGACTTATTTATAACTAGCATTTTCTTAGTGATGTTTAATGTTGAATAAAAAAATGCCTGGCTTTTCTTTCTTTGCATCTATGTAATTTGCAAAATCTGGACGTTTCATATAAATGAAATCATGCAATATGTTGTCCTTGTGACTGGCTTCTTTCACTTAGCATAACATTGTCAGGGTTCGTTCGTCTTGTAGCCTGTATTAGTACTTCTGTCCTTTTATATTCCGTTGTAGAGGTATACGGCCTTTTGTTTATCCGTTTATCAGTTTATGGACATTTGGGTTGTTTCCACTTTTTGGCTATTATGAAGATGCTGCTATGATTCATGTACAAGTTTTTGTGTGGGCCTATGTTTTCATTTCTCTCAGGTGCATACCTAGGAGTGGAATTGCTGGGTTACGTGGTAACTCCATGTTTAACGGTTTGAGGACTGCCAGACTGTTTTCCAAAGTGTTCCACTGTTTTACATTCCTACCAGCAGTTAGTGAGGATTCCCACATCTCCACATCCTCGCCAGCGCCTGTTGTTGTCTGTCTCTTTTATTTTTGCCAACCTAGTGGATGTGAAGTGGTGTCTCATTGTGGTTTTGATTTGCATTTCCCTAGGAATTAAGGATATTGAGCATCTTTTCGTATACTCTTTGGCCACTCATTTTTCTTCTTTGGAGAAATATCTATACAAATCTTTTGCCCGTTTAAAAATTGGGTTGTTTGTCATTTTATTGTTGAGTTGTACCTGTTTTTTAATATATTCTGGATATAGTCCCTTATGAACTATATGATATTTACTAAAATACTGCTAAGATATTAGAATACTTTTTATCTTTAAAATAGAATAATAGTAATAATGATATTTTAAATGTTTTCTCTCATTCTGTAGATTTTCTTTTTTATATTCTTGATGGTGTCCTTTGAAGAACAGAGGCTTTTAATTTTCATGAAGTCTAGTTTATCTTTTTTGTTGTTGTTGCTTGTGATTTTAGTATCCTATCTAAGAAATCATTGCCTAACCTTAGATCATGAAAATTTACTCTATGTTTCTTCTGAGAATTTTATTATAGCCTTATCTCCGACATTTAGATCTATGATCAACCTTTTTGTCCCCCAAGTGAGTAGGTTTAATTCTGAGTGGTACAGAATTCAGGGTAGAATAAAGACTGAAGAGCAGACTTTGGCAAGATTCTGAGCCAGGTTCACTCTGACCTCACACTCAAGTAGAAATGGCTGAATGAGAAGAATTAAAGAGGAGATGGGCCACTGTATGATTTTTTTCTTTTCTACTAAAGTTTATTCTTAAATGTACAACAGGCTCCCAGACAACACTTCATTCTAGCTGCAGGTGGCAACATATGTAATGGCAGGGACTCCAGATGTTTAAACAGGAATGGAGTGGGGGATCACCATCGCCCAGGCACAAGGAACAGCTTACTTCTTGCCCGATTTCTTAATTCCAGCTGTGGCCATGGGGGCCTTCTGCTTGGCCGTTGCTTTCAGCTCCTCGAATTTCTTACGCTCCTCTTTTTGTTCCTGCTCGAGTGCCTTATCGTCCTCATCCATTTCCTTGGCCTGCTGTTTGGGCTGCTTCATCAGCACCTTTGCAGCAGGCCTCCTGCCCCTTCCCCAGACGCTGCTGAGCTCCCCACCCCACCCCCTGCACCCATACCTCCAGCGTATGATCAGTTTTTAATTAATTTTGGTATATGGTGTGAGGGAGGGGTCCAACTTCATTCTTTCGCATGTGGATATCCACTAGTTGAAAAGACTATTCTTTCTACATTGTTTTGGTAACTTTTTTAAAAATCAGTTGAGTATAAATATAAGAGGGTATGTTTAGGATTCTCAGTTCTATTCCTTTGATGTATGTCTGTCCTTACGCCAGTAGCACACTACCTTGATGACTGTAGCTCTGTTATTTTTTGAAATCAGGAAGTGCGAGTCTTCCAACTTTGTTCTTTTTCGAGATTGTTTTGACTATTCTGGGTCCCTTGCATTTCCATATGAATTTTAGGGTCAGTTTGTCAGTTTCTCCAAAAAGGCAGCTGGGAGTTTGATAAAGATTGTGTTGAATCCTTTGATCAATTTGGGGAGTATGGCCATCTTAACAGTATTAAATATTGCAAACCATGAACATAGGATGTCTTTCCATTTGTTTAGATCTTTAATTTCTTTCAGCAATATTTTTTATTTTCCACTGTATAGGTCTTGCACTTCTTTTGTTATGTTTATTCCTTGGTATCTTATTCTTTTTGATGCTTTTGTGAGGGGAATTGTTTTCTCAATTTCATTTTGGATTATTCATTGCTAATGTAGAGAATATGATTGATTTTTGTGTATTGATCTTTTATCCTGCAACCTTGTTGAACTCATTTGTTAGTCTAATAGTTTTGTGTGTGTGGATTCCTTAGGATTTTCTATATGCAGGATCATCTTGTTTGCAAATAAGATAGTTTTACTTCTTTTTCAATTTGAATGCCTTTTCTATTTTTTTCTTGCCTAGTTTCCCTGGGTAGAAACTCCAATACAGTGCTGAATAGAACTGAAATTGGACATCCTTGTGTTGTTCCTGATTTCAGGGCAAAAGCATTCAATCTTTCACTGTTAAGTGTGATGATAGCTGTGGGGTTTTTGTAGATGCCCTTTATCAGATTGAGGAAGTTCCTTTCTATTCCTAGTTTGTTGAGTGTTTTTTATTATGAAAGGGTGTTGGGTTTTCTCAGATGCCTTTTTTGCTGGTATTCAGGCAATCATGTGGTTTTTGTCCTTCATTCTATTAATATGGTGTATTACATTAACTGACTTTTGGATGTTAAATTGGTCTTGCAATCCTACGATAAATCTCACTTGGTCATGGTATATAATCCTTTTTATATGTTGCTGCTTTCAATATACTGGTATATTGTTCAGGATTTTTGTATTGATTCATATTGCATCAAATTCATGAGGGACATTGGTCTGCAGTTTTATTTTCTTTCCATGATTTTGTCTGGTTTGGGTATCAGGCTAATACTGGCCTCATAGAATTAGTTAGGAAGTTTTCCCTTCTCTTCTGTTTTCTGGAAGAGTTTATGAAGAATTGGTAATAATTCTTCTTTAACCATTTGGTGGCGTTCATGAGTAAAGCTCTTGGGCCTGAGCTTTTCTTTGTGGGAAAGTTTAAAGTTAACTAATTCAGTCTCTTTACTTGTTACAGGTTTGTTCAGATTTTCTTTTTCTTCTTGAGTCAGTCTTAGAAGTCTGTGTCTTTCTAAGAATTTGTCCGTTTCATATAGGTTATCTACTTTGTTGTCAAACAGTGTTCATAATATGCCCTTTTAAGGATTCTCCATGTAATTTTTAAAAATAAGAGTTCATTGGCACCATTAAAGATGTTATGAAAATTTTTTTTAAATGATGTGGGAAAGTGGTCCTGACATAGTGTTAAGTGAAACAACCAAGATATAAAACTGTATTTATAGTTTTTATGATTGAGTTATGAGTTTCTTTGTTTTTTTGTTTTTATCCTTTAAGCCAAAGGAACCAGCCAACATCCACTGAACACCTTTGAGAAACATACCAGGCCCCATGCCTGCCCATAGGATGATTTTGAGCTCTGTAGAGCCTACTTCATTCTGGAGCCCTGAACACTACTTCACATTCCCTCTTCAGATCAGATCACATCATTGCTTTTAACCCATCTCAGCTCAGCTCCAGGTATTAATGTACAGATTGCTGCTTCCAGGCCACGGTGGCGTCACTGTGACTTAATGCCTGATTTTACAGTTTTTCTGGTTCAGTCACTTATTTGAACTTTTGAAGGTCTGTCCCTCTCCCACTTCTTCTTTTTTTTTTTTCCAAGTTTAAAGTCCTTTTATTTATTTTTTATTGAGGTATAATTGACATACAACATTATATTAGTTTCAGCTGTACAACATAATGAATCAATATTTGTGTATGTTGCAAAATGATCACCAGAATAAGTCTAGTTAGTATCTATCGCCACACATAGTTACAAAAAAATTTTTTGTTTCTGGTGATGAGAACTTTTAAGACCTGTTCTCTTAGCAACTTTCAAATATGCAATACAGTATTATTAGCTACAGTTACCATGCTGTAATTACCTCCCCAGGACTTATTTATTTTATAAAAGTTTGTAGAGAGTTCTTTATGTATTCTGGATACTAGATCCTTATCAGCTGTATGATTTGCAAATATGTTCTTCCGTTCTGTGGGTGGTCTTTATACTTTCTTGATAGTATCCTTTGATTCCACTTCTATTTTTAAGATTAATTCTTTGTTCATTTAAGTAATCTTTACACAATGACTAAAAGCATTTCCTCATGGAGTTCTGTTGACTCCTCGCTATGAGATGTGGTTTGTGGATTCTGATGTACCTGTGAGTGTCATCTGTGCTTTCCTTTGCTGGCAGCTGTCAAGTAAGGAAGACACTACCTCCAGCAGATACTTTGCTCAGAAATAAATAGAAAAAGAGTCTTGAGTACAGTTGATGAATTTACTGTTTGTTTCCTCTGCAACAGAATGTATTAGTAAATAGTTTGTAATGTACTTTATTCCAGGAAATAAAATGGATAGTTTTGTGTTAGTGAGATCCCATTATACTGAATACTGGCTATCTTTCTGATGCACTGGTATTTCACATTCTCTTATAGAAATAAGGCCATTCTGATTTTCGTGTTTTTGTTTTCTAAATTAAAGACTAAGCAGCCTCTGCTTCTTTCCCCTCTGGACTGAGGGAGCGAGTGGTAGTGATAACACTTGCTTATGGCCACAATACGTGTAGAGACTGTGATGGGAGAAGTGGAAATTGAGGCTGCATCTCACCTTTGGGGAAAATTTGTTTTAGTGCATTTTTCTTAAGATATCTTTTTTTGGTGAAGGAGGAGGAGGAGAATGAGGTCATGAAAAAAGGGAGAAGTAGATACATGAAGAAGAAAACAATTTCTCTCTTTTTCTTGAGGAAGATTTGCCCTGAGCTGACATCTGTGCCAATCTTCCTCTATTTTTTGTTTGTGGGATGCCTACCACAGCTTGGCCTGATGAATGGTGTGGAGGTCCGCAGCTGGGATCTGAACCCGTGAATCCTGGGCTGCTGAAGTGGAGCATGCAAACTTAACCACTATGCCACTGGGCTGGCCCCTGAAAAAAACAATTTTTAAAAATCAACCCAATTTGAGTGATAGAATGATTTTCTATTTATCTTTCATGGCTGATGATATGTTTAACTCTGTACTTGTTCTTTGTCTTTATTTTTTTAAGCTTATAGTAGCTGTTGAACAAGAAGAAATTCCCAGACTTCAGGCCCTATATGAGAGAGGCCTGCAGAATGGTGTCCAGGGCCTGAGGCTGATCCAGCCAGAGGATATAAAAAAGAAGGAGCCGTATTGCAGGGTAAGTGATTCACTGTAACTCCACGAACGTGCTCACAGGGACGTGTTCATTTAGGGCTCAGGCCTGTGACTTGGAGGCGGAGGGTGAGTTTATAGGAGGCGAGAATTGTAGAAACAGCTAGATGATCCTGTCACAGAAGCAGTGAGGAGACACCACCAGAAGGCATTGCCACAAACTCTGGATACCTGGTTTTTTTCTTCCCCATGAGAAAATGCCGGGTCTGAAGAATATGAGCAAAGATGACAGGAGGTCTGAGATCTTCTGGCATGTTGGGAACCCTGAGCCGTGAGGCGTGGTTGGATTGTAGATGGGCGTGTGGGGAGAGAACGTCGATGGGACTGGAAAGGCAGGACTAGGCCTGCAGGGAGGGACTGATGTTCACGCTAGTAACTCTGAAGTTTATCCATTAGGCATGAGGAGCCACTGAAAATTTTTGAGGAGGGTGCCTACAATTTCTGCTCTGTATTTTAGGGAGATAAGGCTGGAAGGGTGGATCGTAGAGTAGCTTGCTTAAAACATGCTATAGGCAGAAACAGATCTTTCTTTCATTGTGAAAGAGACATGAATAATAATAGAACAGTTTCTCTGCATATCGCCTGTCCTTGATAGCCTTTCAGAGGCTGTCAGTCCAACCCGCATTCCGCTGACTGTTCCAAGGAGTACCTGTATCTCCTGTACCGCATGCCCCACTATTTTCTTGACATACACAGGAGCTGGACTCTAAGTACTTGGCTTACAGAGCGTGACCTTGAACTCACTGCCAGGCAATGCTTGTCAAAAGCCTGCTTTGGAGAGACAGTATTTGTGCCTGGAGGGTATGTAGACCATTCATTCCTCTGCATCTCTCCAGACCCTCAGAGAGGCACACCTACACTGTAGTGTTTTGCTCTCTCCATCCGACTCCTTGACCCCAAATTACTCTCTTTGAATTGTGCTTTGGTTTTATAGCATCAGCCTGTAGAGAAGGTGGTTGTGTCACTCACTGAGGCTCCTGCTGTAAGGGTGTGGTTGAGGACATTGGTTCACGGTGTTACACAACGTCTCTCTGAGAACCCTCAGGAGAAATTTCTCTCAGACCTCAGTTCCAAGAATATTTTGTTCTTCCTGAGCACAGTTGGCTTGTTTTTATCTTGTGGACACTGTGAGTCATTTAACTGGTTGTGTTGCCCTGTTTGCCTTGGCTGCAAGGAAGCTCAGAGACACATGTGTGCCCCACTCCTGCCAGATACCTAGTGCTTTAAGCATGTGTTTTTGTTTATGTACTAACTTCCTTCTTATCTTTCCACCCTCGTTTTCTGTCTGCCCTGATATTTTGGAACTTTTTATTGAATCATAACTTACAACAGAAATCATAGATGTACAGCTTGATGCCTTTTCATTAAGTGTGACCAGCACTCAGATCAACGACAAAACACGACCAGCCTCCCGGTATTCTCCTCATGCCCCTCCTAGTCACTACCTTTCCCTTAAGGGTAACCACTGTCCTGACTTCTTACATCACAGGCTTTTGAATTTTATGTAAGTGGGTCATATACCATGTGCTCGTTTGTGTCTGGACTTTTTAAAATTTACTATTGTTTATGGAATTCATCCATATCATTGCATATAGTTGTAGTTTGTGTGTTGTCATTGCTGTATGTCTGTTGTATGAAAGTAGCATGATTTTTTCCACTATTGATGGGCATTTGGTTAGTTTCCAATTTGGAGCTATTCTAAATAGTGCTATTGTGAACATTCTAGCACATGTATTTTGGTGAATACATGTACACATTTCTGTTGGGTATATACCTAGAAGGGAAATTACAAAGTCATAATTTATACATATGTTTAGCTTGGCAGGTACTGCCAAAGAGTTTTCCAAACTGTCTCAATTTATAGTCTCATCATCAGTGTATGAGAGTTCCAGTTGCTCCTTATCTTCACCAACGGTTGGTATTGTCTGTTGTTTTCATTTTAGCTATTCTGGTGGGTATATAGTAGTATAATATTATGGTTTTAATTTACATTTCCCTGGTGACTCTTAAAATTGTACGCCTTTTCATTTGTTTACTGGGCATTTGGATATTTTCTTTTGTGAAGTACCTGTTTAAATCCTTTGCCCATTTTTCTGTTGGGTCTAGATATCTGGTAGAATAAGTTCTTCAGTTTTGTTCTTTAACGTTGTCTTGGCTGTTCTTGCATGTTTGCATTTTCATATATATTTTAGAATTAATTTGTTAAACTCCGCAAGATAACCTGTTATGATTTTGATTGAGATTGCATTGAATCTGTAGGTCCGTTTGGAGATAATTTACATCTTTACAATATAGAATATTCTAATTCGTGAACATCGTATATCCCTCCGTTTATCTAGGATCTTTAATTTATTGCAAAAATGTATTATAATTTTCAGTGTAGAGGTCTTATGTCTCTCTTAGATTTATTTCTAGATATTTGATGTTTTTTGATACTCACATAAATAGTCTTTTTTTTTAAGGTTTATTTTCTACTTCTGTTGCAGATATATGGAAATATAATTGATTTTTGACCTTGTATCCATCTTGGTTGTTTTAAATTCACTTATTGATTCTAACAATTTATAAATTCTTTTTGAGTTTCTATGTACAGTCATGTTATCTGCAAGTAATAACTATTTTATTTCTTCCTTTCCCATCCATATACTTGACAGGCTCAATGTTTAATGCTAGTATATGTTGTTTTCTATGTGTTTCTTGTTCGTTTGTCTGTTTTTACAAGCTAACGACAGATAGAACACAAGACAGATAGGAATGGATTTTTTCCCTTAAGTTATCTTTAGTTGTACAGTTAAAGTTGAGTCACAATATATGATTTTCTTAATTAAAGTTCCCAAGAGGCTGATAGTACTTGGGAATCCAAATAGTGTCGAATGAGTTCTTCCTGCAGAGAAGGTCATAGCGTCTTCAGCTCCAGCGGACTCAGCTTTCCCGTCCCCAGGACTCAGTCCAAATGATCAAAGTGTCTTGCTTGTGGGTTACACTGGGTCTTCTCCTCCGTTTTCCTCTGTCCATATGGTCTTTGTCTCTCTGAGATGGGGAAGGAATGACTGATTCTTTAAAAAGAAGACACACTCATTGAATATCTCATTTTGGCTGTTTCTGTCAGGCTTTGGGCAGATGGTACATGGTACAAGCCAGGGCTGGCAAACTATGACCTGTGGGCCAAATCCTGCCTGCCACCTGTTTTTATGGCCTCTGAGCTAAGAGTAATTTTCACATTTTTAAATGGTTAAAAAAATTAAAAAAAGAATAATATTTTATGACAGATGAAAATTACATGAAATTCCAATTTCAGTGTCCATAAATAAAGTCTTATTGGAATACAAGCACGCTCATTCATTTATGTATTGTCTATGGCTGCCTTTGCACCAAACAGCCAAGTGGAGTAGTTGCAACAGAGGTCATAAGTCTCACATAGACAAAAATATTTACTGTCTTTACAGAAAAAATTGCCAACCCCTGATCTTAATTGTAGGGAGCCGTATAAGGATTTGAACAGGAGAATGACATGCACAATGTGCTAATTTAGCAAAGTTAATCAAGTTATGGTATGTAGAATAGCATTGGATATAGAAGAGAGGGGAGTCTTGAGGTAGGAGGCCAAAGCCATTTATAGTTATTTTTGAAAGGCAGCTGTGCTCACCACCAATGCCACTTATTTATAGTCATTTTTAGAATGTCTGATTTCTGTCCAATACTCTTGTGTATCATAGGTCAGCAATTCCCAGACTTCAGGGAATTTTGACATATTATTTTACCTATTTATTATTTGACATATTTTTTTAATGTATAACTTTATTTTACGTCACTGTATCATCTCTTTTTTTTCATAAACTGGAGATTTACGTAAGGAGAGCAGCAGCACGTGGTGGCTGGGAAGGCAGGCAGACGTAAGTTCAAACCTCACATCTGCCTCTTCGCCAGCTGTGGGCCTGGAGTGGGCTGTTTTCTAAGCTTCAGGCTCCTCATTTGTAAAACAGCTGTTGCCCTGAGAATTAAGTAAAATAATATGTGTCAAGCATCCAGCATGTGTTAATCTTCAGGAGTGGTAGATATTATGATGTGCTTGTTTAAGTGATTCTGGTGAATTCAAACTGGTTTTGTTTGAAATACTTGGGGACTTTTCATGCTATCTGTTAAGATAATTAGGGATGCTTAGTTAGTGTGTTCTTTTCCCCTGGTTTATATTTCCCACTTTCCTGATGATTTGCTTGTAGCTCGTTATTTTATTGTGTTTATTTCCTTTAACCATACCAATTCCTCTGTAGAGTAAAAAGGCTATTTAAAAACATTGTAGAGAGAGCCTGGGATAGTTTAAAAACACAGTTGTGAATAACCCAAATAAGAGCTTGTCTTAGTTTGGGCTGCTATAACAAAGTACCATAGACTAGGTAGCTTATAAATGACAGAATTTATTTCTCACAGTTCTGGGAGCTGGAAGCCTGAGATCAAGGCTCTGGCAGAGATGACATCTGGTGAGGGCCCACTTGCTGGTTGACGGACGCCCATCTCGCTGTGACCTCACGTGGCAGAAGGGGTGAGGGAGCTCTCTGGGGCCTCTCTTATAAGGGCACCACTCCCATTCCTGGGGGCTCCACCCTCGCATCCTAATCAAATGCTCCCAAATGCCCCACCCTCTAATGCCATCGTGTTGGGGCTTAAGTTTCAACATGTGAATTTTGGGGAACACAACATTCAGTCTATAGCAGAGCTCGTCCTTTAGACTGATGCCATACTTCAAGGAAAAAAAAATACTAGTATTAAAATTAAGAGAATAGGGGCCTGTACATATGTCGGGGCAGGACGTATATGGGAAATCTCTATACCTTCTGCTCAATTTTTCTGTGAACCTAAAACTGCTCTAAAAGATCAAATCCTTAAAAAAATGAACAGATTTAACTCACGTCCCCCCTTATCTGTACAGTGCTTTACAGAAACTGTTGAGTGCTTCCTGAAAGCCTGCTGCTGTTTTATAGCTTTATGTGATTTCGATAGAATTTAGTTGTGAAACTAAGATGTCAAAATCTCACTGATCTGTTCCTGTTGACTAATACGCTGCCAATTGAGAATGGAGCAATTTATAACCTCCTTCAAAAGGGCATGCTAATTTTTAACATGTTTCTATTTTTATTTGCTAAAGAAAAGCTCTTTCAAACTTTAAAGTTGGTGTCAAAAAAAGAAAGAAAAGGACATGTGCGCCCCTGACCCCACTGTAGATTTGGTCGTGATCTAAAAACAATATTGACTGTGGAGTTTGGAAAACAGGATTGTTGGCTTCGTGGTAGTGCTGGAATTTGGGTAATTTGGAAGATTCCAGCTAATCAACTGGAAAACAGTCATTGTCTGTTATGAATCCTTGTGAGGGGCTTTAAAGATAGAAAAAATAAGAACAGGATCCATATTCTTTATATCATGCTTTACTGTTCAACACCCTCAGCTTTTCACACATCATAAAGGTTAAGGATGAGTCTGGATATTGTTCTGTGCACCTGACTCTGATTCTTACGGATCTTGAAATGAGGTAGATGAGATATGTGGACATAGATAATCGAATTACATACCTGCACTACTTTGTGTCTAGTAAATGAAGAAGCTAGTTAAGTTACTTTCCCAAGGTCACAGTGCTCCTAAAGAGTCCTCAGCCCCCAGATCTGACTCAGAACTGGTACGTTTTTCTGTTCAGTTTGACGACCATTTTCTTCTTTACTGTGTGCCAGACATTGTGTTAGGCACTGCAGGTATGAAGGTGAGTGAGACATGGTCGTCAGCTTGAAGGGAGTTAGAGCGTGGCAGAAGACAGGATTTTAGTACAGTGATAAGTATTCTGATAGCACTGGTGCCAGTGTAAGGGAGAGCTTTTAGTTTAGTCCAGGAGCTTAGGAGACCCTTCTCAGAGGTGAACCCCCACTTGAAAGATGAATAAGTACTGTAACTTAGAAAGGAGGTATACCTTGCGTTTCTCTGAGGCCTCTGCAGAGGTGATCTACTATATATAATGCCACATTGTAATTATCAATGCCTAGATGTATTTAGGGATGGCAGTATATAGTGGAAAATATAGTCTGGTTATTTCATAAAAGTGTCTTGAGTAAATTCCTCCCTTTTCACCCAACCTCACCACCACTACCAAGAGTGGTGGGCAAAATTTCCATGGTACAAGGTCAATTCTGTTTCTTTCAGGCCCTCCAGAAAGAAAAAGTTTATCAGAGCAGCTCTAAAGGGCTTATTGGACCAGATCCCTTTAAGAAGGAAATTAAGTACCCCACAGGGGAGCATCTTGGAACATTTTAAACTGCCTCTTTAAACTTAGGCTTGGGAGGAGAGCTTTTTTTTTTTTTGAGGAAGATTAGCCCTGAGCTAACATCTGCCAATCCTCCTCTTTTTCCTGAGGAAGACTGACCCTGAGCTAACATCCATGCCCATCTTCCTCTACTTTATACGTGGGACGCCTACCACAGCATGGCCTTTGCCAAGTGGTGCCATGTCTGCACCCAGGATCTGAACCAGCGAACCCCAGGCCGCCGAGAAGCGGAATGTGTGAACCTAACCGCTGAGCCGCCGGGCCGGCCCCAGAGCTCTTGACAGCTCTCTCTCTGGGCTGATCCTGACTGCTTCCTCTGACCTTGGCTGTGCTCATCTGCCTGCCTTCTCTTTTCACTATTGGTCAACCACATGTTCATGTGTTCCCTACACTCCCGACTGACTTCCAGCTCCCAGCTTTCCCTGTCCTGCTTGCTGGTTCTCCAGCCCCCTGACCTCACGTGACCTCAGATTTCAAGCTCTGGCCTGCTCACCTGGACAGTGCATGCCCCGTCTGCTGGGGGACAGACACAGCCAGCCTGTCCACCAGCCCTGTGCTGCGCCAGCACTGGATGGCTTGGCAGCAGTGACTCGCTCCGCCTTCCCCCGACACACACATGTAGGTGGGGCACACAGCATCTCAGGAGGATGGTCAAAGCCAAGAGTGGAAAGGGTCAGAAAAGAAGGGAGACCTTTTAGGGAAGGTCTAGAGGGGAAACTCTAGTGTGTTTAAAGACAGTCCTCAAAAGCCCATTCATTCAGTAAATATCTGAGTGCCTTCTGCACGTCAGGCATTGCGCTGGGCTACAGGAGTGTAAGATGAATAAGGAGGATATTTGGGATTCCAAAAAACTATTGATGTGAAGCACATTTACAGCACATGTTATCCCTCTGTTGTCATACTGGCCACATAGTTTTATGCTAGTAAGCACATTTTTGTGACTAAACTCTTGGTCTTATCCTAAGTTAGCTTCCAAGGTTATTGTACCCAAGGTACCATTTATAGGTTGAAGTGGAATCATACCTATTGACCTGTGGATTTAGGGATTGCCAGGCAATATAAGGTCTCATGTAAAATCTTTCTGATATCTGCTGTACTGAAACAGAAGGAATGATTTCCCATCCTTGGCAAATGCTCTCATGTTCTGGAAGCAAGACTGTCGGGAGAATGATGAAGTTTGCCAAATGTCACTTTCAGTCTGTGCGGAGAGACCTCTGGCTGTTTGTGAGCCTTCCCCCTTAGTGTGACCTGGCCTTTTGGAAGCCTTGATCAGGGACAGGTGGCAAAGTCAAAAGCTTTTAACGGGGCCGGCCCGGTGGTGCAGCACTTAAGTGTGCACGTTCTGCTTCGGTGGCCTGGGGTTCGCTGGTTCTGATCCCGGGTGTGGACATGGCACCGCTTGGCAAGCCATGCTGTGGCAGGCATCCCACAGATAAAGTAGAGGAAGGTGGGCACAGATGTAAAGAGGAGGATTGGCAGTAGTTAGCTCAGGGCTAATCTTCCTCAAAAAAAAAAAAAAACGCTTTTAAGGACCAAGCAGGTAAATGTATTGGAGTAGGCATGGGCAGTGAATACAAGATTGAGATATTTAAAATAATATTATCAGGGGGCTGGCCCCGTGGACAAGTGGTTAAGTTCGCACGCTCTGCTTTGGCGGCCCAGGGTTTCGCTGGTTGGGATCCTGGGCGCGGACATGGCACTGCTTGTCAGACCATGCTGAGGCGGCGTCCCACACAGCACAACTAGAGACCCTCACAACTAGAATATACAACTATGTAGTGGGGGGCTTTGGGGAGAATAAAATAAAAAAAAAAAAAAGATTGGGAACACGTTAGCTCAGGTGCCAATCTTTAAAAACCTAAATAAAATAAAGTGATATTATTGGATATTATTTGAAAACTGCAACAGCAGAGCTGTGCTGGCCAAACAAGAGGACGGCAGTGCTTACCAGCCACACTCGGCTTCTGGGCTTTCGTCGTCCTGGGGACCAGGCTGCCCTCTCAGGGTGAATGGATTGGGAGAGCTGACGTACTCGTGTCCACAGTCAGGCAGCAGAAAATGCTGGTGTTACCAGGGATTCACCAAAATGTAGTCTATACTTGGTGTGTGAAATTCTGCTCTTATCCTTTTCTTCATAATTAGAAAAGACCAATGCACATTCAACATTTGTTCCAAAACATTAAATAAGTATAGTTGTAGATCATTCATCTATAGAGTTTGATCATGTCTTGAGTGGCAAAAAACAACACAACTACAAAAAACCCAGGCTGTTAATTTCTCACGTCACCTGAAGAGAAACTGTGAATCAGCCACATGAAGTCTCCCTTCAGCGTTTGTGGACTTGAAGACAGGGTCTGCAGCAAACCACATCAGCGCTCTGCAAACCTTGGGAGCAACTCTGCATTCCCACTGAGTGTGCAGAAGTGATAAACTACTGGGGAAATCTCAGTGGGGTTATTGAAAACTGAATTGTTTGGTGAGACAGAAGGCAACTCAGAATCAGATATGAGTCAGAATCAGATATGGTGAGGGATGAACAAAACTGAAACACCCGTTGTGGCAGCAGGAAGAGCCTGGCAAAGTGAACTCCTCTAAGGAGGAGAATTGCTTCCTGATTATAGAGATTTTCTTGATTAGCTAGTAGTATTTCTTCTATCTGCTAGACATGTTAATATATGTACTCATCATCAAATTTAGGCACTGAACAGAACAAGCTTTTATTTTATTTTTTTAAGATTATCAAATTTTTGCCAAGAAACGATAATGCATGTTATCCATCAAAATAAACAGTAAAAAAATTCAGCCAAAAATAAAATTTGTTGAACAACCTATCAGTGATTTTTAATTGTATTGCCTTGACTTTTCCACACTCCTGTCCCAGGGTCTAATGGCTATTGACTGCCCATATACTGGCATTGTGGACTATCGGCAGGTGGCCTTGTCGTTTGCCCAGGATTTCCAAGAAGCAGGTGGCTCTGTCTTGACCAATTTTGAAGTAAAAGAGATTGAAAAGGCTAAAGAGAGTCCTTCAAGAAGTAAAGATGGTAAGCCACCCTCGTCTTTTCTTTTGAATACATGTGTTGACTTCTGAACCATCTGGGGACTGTTTTTGGCTGGGTAGCCCTGGCGGGAGGGACGCCAGGAGCTAGGCTAGAGTGGGACGCCGAGCTGGTGCAGGTGCAGAAGGGACCGGGGAGACCGGGCGACGGAGGACTGGGACTTGTAGAGAGTCTTGTGCTGATGGAGCTAGGCCCGAGCGCTAAGACCTGAACTGACGGGGTAGCCCCAGACCCTTCCCTCTCCTGCCCGAGCGCTAAGACCTGAACTGATGGGGTAGCCCCAGACCCTTCCCTCTCCTGCAGGTTAGAGTCAGCATCCCTTGGGGATGCTCGTTAAAAACACAGATTTTGGCATCACACAGTCTTACTGAAACAGACTGTCTGGGGATAGGACACGGCTCAGCCATTCTGAACACACCCTACCCCTGCATTGTAGACTGCACTTAGAGTTTGTTTTGTTTTGCTTTGGGGACAGTTTTTGTTTGTTTGTTTGTTTGTTTGTTTTAAACCAAATGAATTATTTTGTTACCCTTGAATTTGCTGTTGGGAAATTTGAGGAGAAAAAAGGTAGTGCTTGGTTCATTCTTCTTGATAGATTTTTAAGGTGATCTGGGCCATCTGAATCATTCTCCCAATGTCCTTTGAAAATTCTGAGATGATGACAAATTGTTAAATTATTATGATTGTTATAGGTAGGTAGCTTAATCAACCAAATTATGAGGCAAGTAGATCCTATTCTTTACCTGCTGTACACATGCTGTATAAGACTTGGAGATCCAATGTGTCTGATCAGGAACTAATTTTATAAATAGTCAGTTTGTTATTGGAAATGTTGCGTGGTGATAACTCTTGCTTCTCCACAGCAACTAGAATCTGCAAGGACTCAGGGAACCAGCACCTGGATAGGCGTCACAGCATCAGTGCTGCAAGAGAATGTACACTGATTCAGGACCCATTTTACAGCATAGCTTCTAGGATTGTAGTTGAGAGGAAAGCTGGGGCTGCCTGGTTGAGCTGAGGTTGGGATGATTTATAAGCATAGATTAAATGAATTAAAATGAAATAAGCTAAAAACATGCCAGAGTTTCATGTATTGTCAAATATGAGCTAGCTTAATCTTGTTACTTAGCAAAAAGCTTCAGGATGAAAAGTGGGAGGCAGTCATGGTTATGACTGAAGAAAATTGCTTAAATTTGTTTCTCGTATAATATTTCAAGTAACGCAGGCTTTCTTTTACTAAAAATAAATCTTTAATTCTTTTTTTTTTTAGGGGTGACATATCCAATTGTTATAAGGAATACAAAGGTAAAAATTCTTAAGCAAAACTGCCTTCATCTACTTTATCTACTTTCACCCCCTCTCGTTTCTTAAAAACCACAGTGCTTAATAACCACAGTGCTGTATTTTATGTTATTGGATGAAATTTGTCTAAGGTAAAAGTTATTCTGAAAGAAATTCTCTGAGAGCAATGTAATAGCGTTCGTTCTAAGGGTTTCAGCTTGGAAATGTCTTCATAAAGTGATTGTGCCAGCAAAGAACAGGATTATAAGCATTCAGAGTGTTTAACTTCAAGGCAAAACTGGTAGACACTTTATTGCTCTGCCTTCTGCTCTCCATTGACTTATTAGCTCTCTACTAAGGAGAAGACGTTGGGGGACATGTTGTGCAGAGCGAGATGGACTGCTTTCCTTCACTCCACATGGTCTAAAACAAGCGCCGTGGGATGGCATGGAAGCGTTGCATTTGCTGTGTGTTCACTGAATGATCAGAGTTAGTCAGGAGAGCAGAATCATTAGCATTGTAGGATTTATTATGGGAATTAGGCCTTACACAATTATGCAAGGATCTGAGGAAGCAAAAGGCAGAAGGGGAGTTGGTATATCGGAGGCATCTCCAGCCAGTCTGAGGAGCCCAGTGTGTCCAGCTGCTGCAGTGGGGCTGCAAACGGGAAGCTCGTCTGAGGAGGAGAAGATCTGGTGGGGCTCCTGCCCCGGTGTCTACACCCATGCAGTGGGCTGGGGCGCTGCTTGGTCAGTGGTCAGTAGTTGGGAAGAGGAGCTGGAAATGGAGCTATGATTCACGTGGCAGTGGGTGTTTGTCACACAGTCGACAGGAATGACCTTCAGAGCAGAGCGGCTGCTGCTGCACTTCTGCCTGCCGTATCGTGTGCCGTTCCTGTTGGGTCGACTTTGGGTTGGGACCATATAGGGAAGGGCATTCTGTCAAGCATAGTTCCCAGCTTACGCACCTCGATGCAGTGTAAACCCACGGTGCATCCCTGTTCAGCTGACATCCATTTGCACCCACAGTAGTAACTACATTTAGCTTCCAGGTAAAGATGGTAGTAAAATTACACTTCCACCTACAAGGTGCAGCTGTCTTTCGCACCACTGAAGGCATGCTGATTCTCCAAAAAGATACGCAGTCCACTTCACCCATCTTTGGGTGATGTTCATTTCTTTTCTAGCTGAGTCACGCTCCCCTTTGAGATCCTGTAACTTACATGCTGAGATGTAAGGTCACCCGCGGCTGTAGCATCTCCTGTTAGACAGTAGTTCTCAGCTGGAGGCGATTTTACCCCCGGGAGACGTTTGGCAATGTCTGGAGACGTTTTTGGTTGTCGCAACTGGTGGAGGGGGACAGTGCTACTGGCATTTAGTGAGTAGAGACCAGGGATGCTATTGAATATCCTACAATGTGTGGGACAGGCCCCCATAAGAAAAAGAGGTCTGGCCCCAAATGCCAGTAGTACTGAAGTTGAGAAACCGTTGTGTTGGATCATGGGGAAATGGAAGAGACGGGTAGATTAGTCTTCTCTGGCCCCCAGCACAGAGCACCACAGGCTGGGGGCTTCAACAACAGAAGCTTATTTTTTCACAGTTCTGGAGGCTAGAAGTCTAAGATCAAGGTATTATTAGGGTTAGTTTCTGGTGAGATCTTTCTTCTTGGCTTGTCGATGGACGCCTTCTTCCTGTGTCCTCGTGTGGCCTTTTCTCTGTGCATGCACATGTGCAGAGAGAACGAGAGAGAGCAATCTCTGGTCTCTTCCTCTTAGAAGAACACCAGTCCTAGCAGATTAGCCTCTGCTCTTGTGACCTCATTTCACCATAATTACCTCCGTAAAGGTCCTGTCTCTGAATGTAGTCACATTGGCAGTTAGGGCTTCAACATACGAATTGGGAGGAGAGGGGATGAGACACAGTTCAGTCTTTAACAGTGAGCATAAAGAAAGAATTGGTAATGTAGAGACATATATTTATTTCAAAGTAAAGAAGAAATTCTCATAACTACTACATTCCTCATTTCTGTCACCAATCATGTGGTCATAGCTAATACTTACAATTTCCTTCTTCCACTACCCATTCCATAGTCCGTTTGCCCATAGCAGGCATCGCTGCTGGCCGTGGTTCCTAGTTTGGTGGGGTAACTCAAACTTTCATTCCTACAGTGTCTGTGCCATTAGCAGCCTTGCCTGTTGGGTTGTGGTGGTTTCTATTAACTTTTATAACAATGTACGGGGATACTAAGAGATACCCCAGGAGATCTGTACTCCAGACATACTCTGCTTTATCATCCCCAAGCCTTCTCTGTGGTAGCAACTCTATTTCTCCTTGAGAGTCGGGATCGCTTATCCCATTCAGTACAGAATCCCCTCTGCCTGTTGATTCACTGGCCTGAGAAACCCAAAGTGGCAAGGTGGGTACTGTCAACTTCTAGCTTAATGGAACCATTGCTTATTCTCTAAAGGAAGCATTTCTCCCTTGGGAACTAAGACTTCCAGAGCCCAAAGTTGTGTGGATAGGAAGCAAAAATTTCACTACTAGATTATTGTAATAGTAAGGAACTCCTCCCATTTCTACCTCTTGATTTCCAGACCTGTGAAACCTGGCTATGAGAGAAACAACACCATATATTAGTCACTGATTGGGAGGGTATAGAGCATCCTAGAAGACATTGCCCTAGCCCTGCAAGGAGTTGCCAGCCTGCTAGTGCTGTTAGTGAATCTTCAAAAGCGCATTCCACTTCCTGTCACCCACTGGCTTTAGGATGATGGGGAAAATGATAAAATCAGTAAATTCCACAGGCGTGAGCCTATTGTTATACTTCATTTGCTGTAAAATAAGCTCAATGATCAGAAGTAATGCTTCTGGGTAAAATACCACAATGGTGAATAAGGCATCCTGTAAGTTCACCGATGGTGGTTTCCGCAGAAGCGTTGTGGGCAGAGAAGACTAATCAATATCTGGAGCAAGTGTCTGTTCCAGTGAGGACTAAGTGCTGCCCTTTTTTTTTGATTGAAGTGGTCCAGGGACCATATCAGTGGCTCTGTTGATCTCTGCTGTTGGCAGATTGAGCATTCAGCAGTGGCTGTAGACAGATCAGCCTTGGTGGGTACGTCTGTGTTGCTGAGCCCATGCATCACCTCCATCCTTGCTGCCATAACCATTTAGCTCATGAAGCCATTGGGTAACAGACAGGGATACCTAGGGAACAAGGCTAATTAAATTAACATCCACAGAGCAGGTCATCTTGTCTCCTCACTGTTAAAACCTCAGCCGAGGTTACTCTTCAGTGAGCATTCATATCAATGAGCATTCATATGGAACTCAAATATCTTCATCCTCTGAGCCTGTTTGGAGAGGTCCATTCACATACCTCTTCTCCAGAGCTCCTCTTCCTGACCACCCGGCCAACCCTTAGTCACATTAGCACATGGAGCAGTGTAGGTCATGCTTGTAGCCGTCCCCCCTCCTAGGGGAGATAACAGCCAGGTATGGAGTTCAAGTTCTCCCCGTGGGAGGATTCTCCTTCACCACAGTCCTGCAGGGCCACTCCCGAGTGGGGCTCTGGCATGTAGTTGTTCACTTTCGAGTGGTGCCAGGATGTTGTGCAGAAGCATTTGTAAACCAGGCCTCTATTTTGTCTTCCTTGGTCAGCTCATCAAAGAGAACTTCCCATGGGGCCACAGGAGCTGGTTGCGAGGGAGGAGGTAATTTAGCAGGAGCAGGGGACATGGGAATTTGAGCCACCTGCCTCTGCAACTTATGTGTGCCTGCAGGATTGTACAACCCTGAGCTTGTATAACCTACTTCCTTTTGATGACAGAGTGCTGCTTATGCACCCACTTTTGTGGCTTGGTGAGTCAGACAACACCCAGTTAATAATGAGTAGTTCACTTGGTAACTTGGTGACCTGGGGTCAAGTGTTGAGTCAAAGCCAGAAACACTTTCTCAAAAGGAGGATAGTGATCCGCAGAGGATGGTATAACTGTCCTCGAGAATCCTAGAGTTCCCTGCTGTGACTCGCCTATAGGGACCTACCAGTCTCTGTAAAACATTGCTGTCTGCCACAGATACTGCAGTTGCCGTCAGATCTGCTGGGTCACGTGGTCCAAGTGGCAGAGCAAACAGGGTCTCCATTCAAAGAAGGATTGAAAGTCTGTTTCTGCCCCTGCCCTCATGCAAGGGACATTTCCACTAGAGTGTGGCATCGTGTGATGGAGGGTGTGCAGGGCCTGTGGGCACCAGCGGACACGTATTTCACCCACAGTTACCGTGGTTGTTGCCTTTTATTTTGGCATTTTCCTTTAGTACAGTTACACAATATAATTAAAAATTTTGAGTCAACTTATTGAGTTGAACATCTATGCTTTTATGAGAGGTTAAAAGAAAAGGAATTTTTAAACTTTTGGGGAGAAGATTTGTAAACTAAAGATTTACAGATTGCATATGGAGAAGAAGTCTGTTTTACTTATGAAATAGGAATAGAGATGTATAGTTTATTTTTTTGAAGAAATTTCTGTTTGGGGGCCGACCCCCTGGCTGAGTGGTTAAAGTTCCACGTGCTCCGTTTTGGCAGCCTGGGTTCGCAGGTTCAGATCCCAGGCACGGACCTCCTCCACTCATCAGCCATGCTGTGGCGGCATCCCACATTCAAAATAGAGGCAGACTGGCACAGATGTTAGCTCAGGGCTGGTCTTCCTCAAGCAAAACAAAGAGGAAGATTGGCAACAGATGTTAGCTCAGGGCGAATCTTCCTCAGCCAAAAAAAAGAAAAAAAAAAGAAATTTATGTTTGAACAAATATTCAGATCATTCAATGTTTACCTAAATTTCCACTTTGGATGTGAAGTTAATGTGTTACTGAATTTAATTATTGTTTCCTGTATGGCATAAAATGATTTCAGAGACCTATGACAGTTTTTAATCATTTCTTTTTTTGGAACTGTTCCTTGAGTCTTTTAAAGAGACCTTCTAGGTTATTGCATGTTTGTACCATTCTACAAATTATCTTATCTTTACATTCATCATTAGGCTTATCTATGTTTTATGTTCCAAGAACCAAAGAATTGCTGGCCTTTCAGGTAGTAACTAGTAGATTTGTATCACATGAAAATATTTCTTGTACTTCTGGTGTATAACTCTAGATGAACAGGAAAGATATTAACCTATTTAGAAGAAGACATTTTTTGTTTTTGTTGACGTAGCCCTTTTGACGTCAAGGGTCTTAAAACTATCATAGTTTAGCTAATTTGAATTCACTACAAAGAAGTTTCATCTGATTTTTGTCAGAAGTGCAACCTGTTATCTCTTGAAAAGTGGCTGACCTTTGTAGCTGGGCAAAAATAGGATGCATACAGAGATAGAAGAGGGCTGAGTCAGTAAGGCTGGAAAGAAAGAGCGTGTGGAGACGGGTGAGAGCTCCAAGGCTTCAGAAATGGGTCATCTGGGAAGGAAATCGAGGAAGAAGAAATTACCTGGAGCAAGGAGGTGCTAGTGTTTACTCTGTAAGAAGTAAAGAGATGAGAATGAGAGTGTGGGTGTGAATCGGGGGTAAATGAAATCATTTAGGAAATAGGGTGGCAAATTGGCTAACCCTGGCAGGATAAAGCTAAAAATATGCAGATGATAATCACAAAATAAAATTTATGGGAAAATACAGCAGCCTAAGATTAGCACTCTCCTAGTTCTTAAAGCAAACCTTGACTACAGAGTGTGTTCTCAGTAAACGTGGACTGAACGAATGAGGTTTTGAAAGGAGCCTCAGTTTGCAAGGTAGATATTGACCAGGAAGGAGAAAGTGGATGGTGGGTAGATTCCGGTTGGAATTGAGCAAGATTATTGAGTGTGAAGTAAACTGAGAGTAACAAGATAATTACTCCTAGATGAGATGGGAGAAGCTCTCTGGAATACAGAGGAGGCCAGATTGGTGGGCTGTCTAAGTGAAGTTTGCTTCTTCGTGCAACAAATAGTCAAGAAGATCCATGCTAGGTCTTAGTAAAATGGGGAGGGGGTGTGTGTGTGTATGCGCTCATGTGTGGCTTAAGTATCCTCACTAGGTCAACCACTGTATTTCTAATTTGAAGTACAGAATTCAAAGTGACATCCTCTTGCGGGCCACTACCCTAAGTTTCTAGGTGCCACCTGAATGCTGAAGAGCTTATTTTGCTGATACTTGTATTTAATTTCCTCTTTTAAAAGGGATAAAATAAAGGGCCAGCCCAGTGGTGTAGTGGTTAATTTCACGCACT